GACGGTGCTGTGGGCCAGTCCCGCCCCGGTACTCACCAACACCAGTCTCAATGATCCGGCCACAACGTGCGGCATCCTCAGCGGAGTTGTCGATGGAGCGCCCTTCATTCTGACTGGTAGCTCTGATCAGCGCATCCGCTACTGGGACATTGCGTCCCCAAAGAACTCTTCGCTCAAGGTGCCAGCAGCCAATGATAATCTGACGGATGTGGCATTCAACTACAGGCAAGTGCCATTTATGGTTTATCTTCGTTGCTTTTTAATTGTTATTTGCGACTTACTGCAACCCTTCCTTAGTGCCCGTTTGATTGATGGCAGCCAGGTCATTGAGGAGCAAGTCATTTCCATGGGCACCGGCGAGTCCCAGCAACTTCGCACATCCACGGAGGAGAATCCACGATCTGGGCCGGACATGCCTACGGCCAGCCATCGGGACGCCATCACGGATCTGCTCATGTGCAAGGACAAGGGTCAAATCTACATAGCGTCGGCATCGCGCGACGGTGTCATCAAGCTGTGGAAGTAAACGCCTGCTAATAGTATTTAATTATTCAACTGTGATTAGCCTAATAAACTGCAATATGTGTATCCGTGATCGAGTTTAAGCTATATTCTTTTGTGCCGTTCGTATTCAAAATTGTCCGGAAGTTAGCGCCAAAAGTGTTCCAGCTATCGATATTTTGTTACATGGAATGTAGGGCAACGTGATGCATTTCCCAGCGGGAAAATTTATTGGACCAAAAGAAAATTTACCAAAACGGATCGATTGCGATCTTATTTTATACGCAATAATCCCATGAAGAGGATGCATTTTATTTAAAAAGGGGAATACAAATGCCCATATACTTAGAAATCCATTCCCACTCACATACTATTTCATGCTATTTTTTTGGTTGGCCTATTTAGTTTTAAACTTAATCTGGAGACATTCCAACAAAATGAAATCGTGAAAACTAGCCCGTCTTCTGAAGAATTGATTGATAAAACTGATAAAATTATAGTTTTAGCGCTGAGACTCCTAACTAGCTAGTAACATCAAATAGAACATCAATATCGAGGAATGTGAATTATGATTTCGGTATATGTACGGTATATTTTACAAATGAGACGGAATATATCTGAGGGTTTTGCGGTGTATTATATCGATAAATCCGTGGTCACACTGCCTGTCAAGACGCGTCTCTGGCGCTGTTTTTCGATTTTCTCGTATTCTTTATCTTTTCAAGCGCCGTTATGATCAGCGGCGGCCAAGCGTCATAATACTCCAGGTGAAAAAACATAATTAGTGAGTTTGTGTGACAACGATTGCTTGAAAACAACAAGAATCACATCGTTGTAAGTAAGCTGACCCGAAACTGTATCTGAAACGAGCCAAGGACTAAGCAACGCCACTAGAGCCAGCGCAAAGCGAGAATCTGCTGGAGGACCAAAAGTGACAACAACAAAACACAGACTTTTACAAAATGGCGCCCACAAAGGCTTCCACCCGGGCCACCGCAACCAGCCAGGCGGCCATGAACTCGCTCCTCGCCCTGGGCCCCACGGGCACACGCAAGGGTCTGAGCCGTCGGGCGGCGAACAACAACAATTGCAACATCGACCCCAATGCCGAGAACATGCAGACGCGGGGCAAGCGCAAGGCCGACAACAGTCCGATCAAGAACGAAAAGATCAAACGCTCTGCCCTGGGCAACCTTACCAACAATGTAAAGATCATGACGCTGCATCAGGGGGAGGAGGATGCCAACCAGCAGCTGCTGCCCAAGAAGCCCACGGCCCAGCAGCTGCAGGCCCTGCTAGATGCTAAGAACACTGACAACCTGGGTATAAATGTGTTTGCCACCAACAAAATCATGACTCGCGCCTCAACCAAGACAGACGATTCAGTGGAGAACTGCCACAAGGTGTTGGACAAGTTCGAGGAGGCACTGGCTCGGCCCAAACTGCGCCCGAAGGCAGTGCCCAGCAAGAAGACCGTTTTGGGGGAGGTCCCCAATCCGAACCAAGTCCAGATTCCCATCTTGCCCCCTCCCATGCAGAGTCTGGCCGCTCCTCAGGCCCAAGCCCAGGCCCAGGGAATGGTCATCAAGCCGGTGCGTCGCATCTCCAATGACTTCAACAAGACTGAGGATAGCCTATACATGTCTGCCCTGGAGGACGTATCCACCTCCGACTCTTTGCGCCTCTCGGGCAACTTTGAGGCGGCGCGTCGGCGCTCTGCCAAATTCCAACAAAAGACTGAACAGCCCATAGTGGAGGCTGCAAAAGCCGCTGCCGCTGCTGCCTTGGCGCCAGTGATTCCACTGCGTCCCGTGCCCAAAGATGTGGAGGATTTTGACCTGAAGAACTGGGACGACCCCTTCCAGGTCTCGCACTACGCCATGGACATCTTCAACTATCTGAAGACACGCGAGCCAGAGTTCCCCATCGAGGACTACATGCCGAGACAGATCCACCTGACCACGTGGATGCGGACCCTGCTGGTTGACTGGATGGTCGAGGTGCAGGAGACCTTCGAGCTCAACCACGAGACCCTCTATCTGGCTGTGAAGATCGTGGACCTCTATCTGTGCCGCGAAGTGATCAACAAGGAGAAGCTTCAGCTTCTGGGGGCCGCTGCCTTCTTCATTGCCTGCAAGTACGACGAGCGCCAGCCGCCCCTGATCGAGGACTTTCTGTACATTTGCGACGGAGCCTACAACCACGACGAGCTGGTCAAGATGGAGCGCGAAACGCTGCGCGTCATCAAGTACGATCTGGGCATTCCCCTGTCCTACCGCTTCTTGCGTCGCTACGCTCGCTGTGCCAAGGTCCAGATGCCCACTCTGACTCTGGCTCGCTACATCCTGGAACTGTCGCTGATGGACTATGCCACAATTGGGTTCAGCGACTCGCAGATGGCCTCGGCAGCCCTCTTCATGGCACTGCGCATGCACGCCGGTGCCGCCAATCTGGAGCAACAGACCTGGACCTCAACTCTGGTCCACTACACGGGCTTCCAGCTGGCGGAGTTTGCCGAGATTGTGCCCGTACTGAATGCCGGACTCCATCGCAAGCCGCGGGCCACCATCAAGACGATACGCAACAAGTACTCGCACAAGATATTCCACGAGGTGGCCAAGGTGCCGCTGCTCACCAACCAGGAGCTCTTTCAGAACAACCTCGATCTGGAAGTGAACGCGAGCAATCTGTCGTAGGACGTAGGACCACCTCGAACCTTAGCCAAATTAATATCGAGCAGCACCAAGTTACGCTTCAGTTAGGCTCTAAGACGCTTCAGACCCAAAAAAAAAAAAATATTAAAAAAAAACAGCAAAACCCACCTCGAAAAAAAAAGACTAAAACGAATCCACCCTTCCCTTGACCCCTTTTCCCCTTCCTTTCCACATTCTCTCACAAAGTTTTTATATTTTATAATTAATTATTATTTGTGACATTTTGCATTATAATCGTGTGTTTTCGTTGCATAAATATTATGTTAAGAGCGCTCACTGTTCTCCATTTATGTTTTACTGTTTAGTTTCCTTTTTTCATAATTTTTAACAAGCCGAAACATTGTCCCATCAGTCATCAAGCCCCCACAACCGCTCTACAACTAAACAAATTATGTTTTTATTTTATGATGTAAGACATATTCCAGCATTTAATAAACTTATATCGTAAGGCACCAAAGCAAAGCAGCAATGGATCGATCGTATTCCTAGGACAACTCGTAACACTAATAACTAACAGAGGCGCGTGTGTCCTGTACAACCTGGAAGGCGGCGCGCACCGCTAACAGAACCTTCAACCCTCATCGCATCATCCTACCCATGTGTATTTTTATGTATATGTTGTTAATGCTGCTCTTTTGTTTGTTACGCCATTCATGGACTTTCCTCTCCCACCCCCCAACTAACATGCATGCACCGCCACGAGGAATGCTCCATGAATGTTGATAGCGTTGCATTGTCATTGTCCAAATATGTAACTAGTTATGTACCGCACTCCATGTTATGTATGTACCCAATAAACATTTACTCACTATGTGTCCGTTCGCAAAATAACCAACTAAATGTGTCGCCAACGCGGGTGGTGGATCTTGGAACAAGAAAAGTCTAGAAATAAGCCTATGGTAAGCATAATCTATTCCAGGTTTTTCTTTGTACCCAAAATCTAAACTGTTTCATTTGCTTTTGTAGCCAAGAATCAGCTGAGATGTCTTCAGGACAGCTGGTGGTTCTGTGTGAAACATCTTCAATTAAGGGTGAGTCCACAATCTATTCTATGCTCTATGGCACTTCTCATTTAAGCTGCTATCCCTTAGATCTTGCACGGGAACAGCTGATGCCAGCGGCAAAGGACATTAAACTCTCGCTCTCTCTCTGGGAAATAGGTTCGATCCATGACAGGTAAAACTATCACCCATAATCTATGCTTCATTGTGTGTGTTTCCCTTTGCTTTCCGTGATTTTGGCGCGGTCGTCTGTCATTTTAGCGCCAAAAATTTGTTAAGGATTTGCGCGGCAGGCTGCGCATGCGCCGCAAGACATCACAGTCGGGAGGGTCCTTGGTACTTGGTACTTGGTACCCGTTCCAGTCCCAATCCGCTGCACACACATAACCGATTTCTGTCGCTGCAATTGAGACTGAAAAGGGCACCACCGTCTATCCGTCTGTCTGTCTGTCTGTCTGGCATGTCCCTCAGTGTGTGTGTGCCTCTGACGTTGATTTTCTACCACCTTTCTTGGTCCTACGACTGCGGCTGCGTCTTTGCCTTTGTGCCGCTCCCTTTTTGGCAGCCTGCCCTGTCAGGTAGCTCCCGGTTCCTGTTCCATTGTGTCCTCTCGCAAGAAAATAAGTAAGTAAATGTGTTCTGTGCATGTACGTATCCGTGAAGAGCTGAAATTAATGCATATTGCTTTATTTCTTTCCGGTTCGGCATCTCTCTGTCTCGATGTCTCTGTCGTCCTCTGCCCAAGGTGCAACTGGGAACCGGGCAACATTGCTAATTACTTTGGTTGGGAGTGCGCAAAATCAAGTTTATTCAGAGGCACAGCAGACGGACGCACACACAGAGATGCTCGTACAGCTGCCCCTTGTCACAGAGCTTCCAACTTATGACTACGACTCTCCTCCTCCAGATTGGACCTTCCGTTTCAAAAGGCCGGTGAATTGAAGGCGCCATTGTAGCCGCCCCCGTATCCGCTGCCGAAACCAAAGGCATTGTGGTTGTTCAGGACATCAAAGGAGCCCTTGTGGACGCCATCCTCCTTGTACTCGGTGTTCATGGAGAACCTGTGGTCCCAGTGCTCCGGATCCTGGGCATTGTGCGACGGATAGCGGCTGTGGTGTCTTCTGCTCTCATGAGGCGACGCAGCAGGAGGAGCTGCACCGGGATGCACCACCACTGGAGGGCCTCCAGGTGCTCCTGGTGCATAGCCAGGATATGCCCCAGGCTGCGGATAGCCAGGAAATTGAGGCAGATAAACTCCAGGATATGCGTAGCCGGGATAGCCTGAGGGATAGGCAGCTGCAGGCGATGGATAGGATCCTATTCCTGGCTGTGGATAGGCGTGAGCTCCTGGCTGTGGATACGCGGGAACTCCTGGCTGCGGATAGGAGGGAACTCCTGGCCTCTGGGCTGGAATTCCACCGGGATAATGAACCGGAGGCTGAGGAGAACCTGTGGCCGGGTAGCCAGGAGGCGGATAAGTGCCGGGCGGAAGCTCTTGCCCGGGATACCCCGCTGGCTGCTGTGGCCCCGAATATCCTATAGAATTGGAGCCACCTGCTCTCGGAGTGTATCCGCCCTGCTCGTGACCATGTGGCCCATCGATGTCGACGCTGCCATAGCCCGCACCTGGCTGCGTGCTGTCCGGATACGAGTTGAGATTCGAGTTGAGATTGGCCCGCTGGTGGTGGCGACTGCTGCGGATGCCGCCAGTTAGCGTGGAAGCCAGATTGAAGTTGGTTTCCTCATCCTCGCGGCTCTCGTCGCGACTCAGCTGCGAGGCCTGGCTCTCGACGGCCAGGAGCAGGGCCACAATGAGGCCAGCGAACGCGATTACACTCCTCCAGGCCATAATGTCACGGTAAGACTAAGCCGCCAAAGCTCTCAGCGCGTGTATTTCAAGCTCAAAACAGAAATCGAATGCGTCTCAGGCAATGTTCGTGTTTAGGGTTATCAATGGGGGAGAGCGGAGCTCAATGGCCTGATAAGAGTGCTCCATCTGTGAGTGTTTCCAAAGCTGAATGAGAGAAGATTCTGGGAATCGATTGAGGGTCTCTTGGGCTATTCCCAATTTTAAACTTCCGAAGCATAGATCTGAAGACAAGCCTATGGTAATTTGCAATCGATTGAGCCACAACATAAATGGGGAATTGCCCTTAAAATTTCTCTGTGGCCTCTGCAGCATGGACGCCAAAACAGATCAGATCGGAGAGAAGCGCTTTCTCGAACGACCTTATTTACTACTTAGACAGCCAGCGGAATCAGCAGTATGTCTCTATGTACTCGCAGATCGTCCAAGGTTATGCTACTCCACTCAGGCTGCTTATCGCCAGTCCCGCAGTCAGCCCGAAGTCTATAAAAGATCGCGCAGAAGCCACAGAAGATCGCAAATTCTATTGCGCACTCAAAGATGAAGCTGGACGCGAGACTGTCGCTATCTTTTGTTGTGCTACTCCTCGTGGGAGCAGCAAAAGCGAGACCCCATTTCGACAAGATTGCCGGAGCGCTGATCGATGCGTTGGAACCATGGCCACAGTACCACGCACAACCACCGAGACCTGGACACGCCTACGGACCAGGACCAGGACCAGGACACGGCTACGGCTACGGGCCGGGTCCACTCATCCAGGAGGGCTATGAGCAGGGCTACGACCACTACTACGGCGGAGGAGGAGGATATGGCTATGGGTATCAGCAGGGGCCGCCACCAGGAGCTTACGGCTACTATCCTCCACCTGCTGGCTACTATCCACACAGGCCACAGGAACCCTACCCAGGCCACCCACCCAGGGATCGGGGCTACAGTCAGGACTATGGAAGATCAGTTGGAAGAGTTGGAACACCTGCATCCACTGGCGGCTACAAGCAGCGGGGTTACTAGCCTTCACCTGTGAAATGTTCCATACATAGTCTCTCAGCCTTCCCTGCCCTCCCCTCCACTCCCCATCCATTCAGCCCAATCATCTTTCCATCTGTTTGTGTTATTTATTAAATTATAATTCGTGAATCTTCGTCAAGAGTCTTTGTTCTCGGTAGCTCCCGAACCTGTTTACAGATCACCGATCCGAAACGATCCACAAAGACGATCTTGAGCCCCGCTGGGAAGCCCCTGCCTATAAATATTCAACAATTGCAAAATGTTCTATGGAAGAATGTGCCCCGAATCGCAGCTCATCTCCGCTCATCGATGTTGTCCGCGCGCAACTCCTGCCTGGGCGGACGGTGGATGTATCGCGCAGAGCTGGGGAAGATGATGTCCCGCAGCTGGGAGTCCTCGATGGAATGCAGCGATGGCTTCGGCGATGGCCTGGCCGAGGGCTGAGGCGGCAACAGTGGCGGACGATTGGTGCCTACGATGAGAGTGCTCTTGGTGGTCGCTGGCTGTGGTCGAGGCTGGAATGTGGGCCCCACAGCGACTGGCTTGGGTGTCGTTGTGCTAGATCCTTCGCCGATGGGATTCTCCCAATTTGTGTATTGATCCGTGGGACTCGGTTGATTGTTGCCGTTCCCATTGCCATTGTTCTCCCAGCCAGAACCTGGTGGTGGTCCTTCTCCATCTCCCCATGCATTATTCATTCCACCGCCACCCCATCCGGGTCTTGGTGGTCCCATTCCGCCGCCTGCCCAGTAGGGTCTGGGTGGTCCCATGCCCCCTACTGGTCCGCCACCCCAGCCTGGCCTTTGTGGTGGTCCACCTCCCCAGCCTGGTCTCTGCGGTGGTCCTCGTCCATTGTTGAATCCTGGCTGATTATAGTTGCCGTTGCCACCCCACTCCCAGCCTGGAGGCCAGCCGGGTGGAGCTGGCTGTCGACCAGCATTGGGCGCAGGAGGAGGTCTGCGTCCACCCATGCCCATGCCTGGCCAGCCACCGCCGCCCTGCTGCTGCCGTTGTTGAGAGTAAAAGTTGTTGTTGTTGTTGTTGTGGTTGAAGCCAGTTACGACGCCGTTGAGTGCTCCAAAACCGGGCAGCTGCGCCACCACGGTGAGTCCTCCGGCAGAGGCCACGGCACTGCCCGCGGAGGTGAACGCGAACTGAGCGTCGCACGTGCGCATCCCGATCCATTCGAGGCAGATGATGGCAAATAGAATAGAAACCGAAACCGAAACCGAAGATCGCGTCATGATTGAGTTGAATAATGGAACGATCGCCGATGATCGCCCAAGCACTACGACAGGCGGATTCTAACTGTGGGGGGGAACTTATTCCGTTGTATGCGATAATCGGGGGAATGCTTGAGCGGTCACCGAAAACCTGTCGCCGTGTCTCTCGGACTTGGCGGCGAGAGAAGAGAGCGGATCGCTCGCTCTCTAACGTTGATCGTGGCGATGATCATCAACTTCATAAACAAACAAAAACCGAAAAGAAAAACATCCACTCAAGCGAGGCAAAGTGCTGCGTCTTGGCTGCTGATGTTATTATTGCTGTGTGGATGGGGATGGGATGTCCGATCTACTTGGTCGATCGTTTTGCTTGGTCTTCCAGTGCGTGGCGCATTGTGCTGGCTGTGCTGGTGGTGGTGCGTGCCCTGCATGCTGATCGTGACAATCCGTCTCATATATATTCAGCATAATCCATTGAGTCGCAACGCTGACCGGTGCGAGCGTGGTCTGTCGCCTGATCTTCCAGAGATGCCGATTGTTTAGTTTTTTATGGGCATACGAGATCGAAAAATAAAGCATTTCAAAGTGCTAAAGAGCGCAATGTGTCACCATCTTCATCAGCATAATCGCTCAGCAGATCCCAACTCCGTTCCAAGGGTATAAATAGAGGAGCGCTGGGTAGATCGTGGCCAGAACCGGGTTAGAACCACACACAGGAAGAGCCATCATGAGAGTACGAGTTCCCTTCTGGATGATCCTCACGTTGCTGATTGCCAGCTGTGTGGACTGGAGCAGTGCCTTCTTCCTGAAGGGTTGGAACAAGTCCAAGGGCTATGGAGGCGGCCAGAGCTATGGAAACAACTATGGATATGGGAACTCCATCGGTTATGGCAGCTCAGGGTATGGCAACTATGCTGGTGGCTATGGCTATGGCTATGGCTATGGCTATCCATCGTATCAGTCATACGGAGGCGGTTATGGAGGCGGCAGACGACCCAACTCTGGCCAACGCAAGGGACGCACCTACTCGGAAATTGCACGAGTCCTGAAGCCCGATGCCTACGTGGGTCTCGGGGGCAGTCGCTTCCTGCCCCGCACACCATTCTCAAGATTTTGGGGTTGAGCATTCACTAAGTCTTAAGTTAATTTTTTAAGTTTTCGACTATTATGTATTATCTTGAAATAAAATAAGAGAAAGTTTTGATCTACTCATTGGCTATGCCAATTAATTATAGCTCCATCTTGTTGTGTTATGTGTATCACTTGAGTGAGGCTGCAATTCGCTTTTTATAGTCCATAGAAATGTATGATCACTCAATGAGCACTCGACGGGCAGCGCGTTCATCACCGGCACGTGATGGAAATGCGAATGAGCGAATGTCGTGCCTCCGTTTTGGATGTTGGCAGGTGGACTGAACCCCCTGCTGCTCATGCGGTTACTGGGATAGTTGTAGTGCATTCCCCCTGGATGACACTGGAAGACCTTGACAGTCAAGAGCTGTCTGGTAATTCCATGGAGCATTACACACTCATTTGAGTTACATTTATGCAGAATATTTAGCTGTGAAGATGGGGACCCCTGGGGAGAGCTTTCAGCAAGAAGAATTTATTGGAGTGATTCTAAAGGTATTTCTAAAGGTCTTGGAGTGAAAGACAGCTCTAATCCTTGGGCAATGGGAATTTTGCATGAATCATAGTAAAAACCTTTCGAAATTCCTACAAAATCTCAGTCATCGCACTGGGCATTGTTCTAATTATTCACATAAAGTAGAAGACCCTTTCCCATCTGAATATTTCTGAGCACAAAAATTTCGTTAACCGAGTGACTGACACACACCTTTCCCAGGCCCCGAACTGAATAATTTTATGATCATAATGAACCGAAACGGTGTGTAGTATAGTCGCATCATCTGACTGGATCATCATGGCATACAAGTGTGGTATATATAGAGACCTCAAGTACAGCAATTTAAGTACCCAGTGAATCAGTTCCTAGGACTTCCCCCCTTGGCACACTTTGAGGAAGCGAAAAGACAACAAACCAGATCTGAAAAGAGCTCGAGCCAAAGCTGACATTACAGGAAGGAATATTGGAAGAGGCGAACTATGTAGACATGGCAATGTCTCGAGCAATTGTTTATGCAAGAATTTGCTAATATGCGTACGTACGTAAGACTCTCCTCCACTCGGCGCACCTACTCGTACGTCATTAGCCCAGTCGTCAGAGTTGTTAATTAGAATTTAAATAGTGAGAGAGTCGCAGTGCTGGGGTTTGAGCACCAGCTCGTACAGCCAAATCATTCACCTGGCAATTAGAGTCAAGATCAGGTGCATAGATCCGTATGGTGGATGTGCTGAATCACCAGAAGATCGCTGGAACTACTCGTATCTATCGATCGCATAACGGCGGGCAGTGTGAATGACTTGCTTGCGGGCAGCGTGTCAGTAAATATTGAGAGGAAACGAAAATGAGAATGAGAAAAATGATCGTAAAAAGCACAAAGATCAGACGTGAGCGGAATGAGACGCGGGGCAGCGCAGTCAGTTCTTTCGGATTCGCCAAAACCTGATTGATAACGGCAAGAACCGATCGGTTCAGTGTACTCCCCACATCCGAATGGATCCATATAAATAGGACAGTCTCCGGCGACACTGCAGCTCAGTTCTCGAGGCAACATCTCCCCAAGCAGCAATGTCACTCACCAAGGGACTTATTCTTCTCCGCCTGATGGTCGTTCTGGTGCTTCTACTCGCAGCGGCTTTCGCCTCTCCTGCCCGAGGCTACTACAGTTCCCCACAGCGCGGTGGACGCAGCTACACGGACATTGCCCGCGTGGTCAATCCCAATCCATATGCCTTCGTTGGAGCCCGCAACTATCCGGGGCAGCCCTTCTGGCCAGCGGGAAAATGATCTACTTTGAGCAGTCGAATTTGTAGAAGACTTGACACAGGTTTAGATGTGCAATGGACTGAAATAATACTCTAGAATAAGTTAAGGCTAAGATATAAGTGAGTCAAAAACTGCACTAAAAGTATTATTACATCGCAAAAATAAATGTAAATTACTCAGAGACCTTCAAGGAATTGTTTAAGTGCAAGCAAAACGAGAAAAACTCAACGAATATTTGGTTTACTTCAAGAACTTCCTTCCCTTGTCTATCCTCTAGTTGCTCAAAGCATATTGACACTAATTAAGCAAGTCTTAATGACTAATTTCCATTAAGCACAACAGCCACGCCTCCAGCCGTCACTCATTTCCTATGGAAATCAATCAAAGAACGAGTCTTCAATCATCAGTCAGCAGTCAACAGTTGCAGTCCGAAACGGAAGACCATTAAAGATGGCCATTAATACGGAGGCCACATCCAATGCCATTTGGTGGATCCAGAACCCGAAGGAATCCAAAGGCAGAAGGAAACACAGGAAGGGACCGTCTGGTCGGCGCAAGCAATCCCTGGGCTCCGCTTTTTGCTTGGATATGGCAGATCTGCTGCGAAATATATCCATGCAGGGCTACAACAAACTATTGTCGCCAGATATAACACTGGGACAAAGGTGGGAAAACTCATCCAGGACTCATCGGTACTCTTGACTCTGGCTTTCCCTTTTTGGCAGAATGATTTGGTTGCTGCTGCACACCGCCACCACGGTCTCCCTCATCGTGGTGCTATCCCTGACCTGGGAACAGTTTGTGGCACAATCGTTTGTGACCAATCTGAAGGATCCGCTCTATCCCGTGGAGAATGTGCCCTTTCCGGCAGTCTCCATATGCTCCAACAATCGCATTTCCAGAGAGGCAGCCTTTAGATATGCGATTGAGTTGTGAGTTTGACAGCCAATCCTCTACCCTACGAATCTACGATTCTATGATTCATTTTTGGTGCACAGACAAGCCAGAAGTCCCATAAGTCGACCCGTGGAGTACTATCTGGAGCGTCTGTTGTTCCTGCGAGAGTTCTATGTGCATGTGGGTGTCGTCGTGGACACGGATGAGTTTGGCAGCTTTCAAACCTTTCTCGATGTGTTTGGCACGTGGGACAACGAGACATTTTATGACACGCGACGCATCATGAAAATGGTGAGTATGAAATCAGTACCCATTTATGATGTGATTTATGATGTGTGGATCTCTCTTTAGCTGACTCCCAAGTGTGAAAACTATGTGCTCAAGTGCACCCTGGCCAATGTGGATATTCCGTGCTTCAGCAAGGCTGCCTTCCAGGAGAGCCTCACGCAGTACGGTCCCTGCTGCACCTTTAACATGGAGAACAGGTTGAGTGTTCGCTTGAAAAATCGCACAAACTTAAAAGGATTCCCCCACCAGACTCAAGAAGCGCAACTTCAAGAATCGCTTGGCCAGTGCAGAGCTTGGTCTGACGGTTGTGCTAAACTCCAGCCACTCGGATCACTTTGCCCCCATTCTGAACACCGATGGTTACATTGTCCTGATCCACAGTGCAGACAATTACGCCTCAGTCACCTCCTCGAATACGCTGGAGATGTTTCCGGGCCAGCGGGAGGAAACTTCACTGCAGATCCACGCACGGGTGGTGGACACTGACGACAGCTTGAGCTCCTTCTCCCCCTTTGGGAGACACTGCTACTTTGACAACGAGGCCCAGACATCCAGCAATGAGCAGCAACGGCTGCTAAAGTCCACCTACTCCTTCCCCAACTGCGTCTCCAGGTGCAAGATTCGTAGCGTTATAGCTTTATGCCGCTGCCTGCCGTTCCAGATGCCGCTGGAGCTAGTGGAGAACCTCGATGGAGTTGTCTTTTGCACACTCGGGCATGTGCCCTGCATCAATCAGTACCAGTGTGAGTGGCTGTAGTCGCTCCCATCAACCGCTTCCCATCATTACTCTTCCCACAGTCAAGTGGCGCAATGTGCTGACAGAGCGTCACATGATCTCCGGTCTGGAGCGGGAGATCGAGGAGGCTTTGTACTGCCCGCAATGCCTGCCCTCGTGCAATGACGTGCTGTATGGCGTGTCCTTGAGCTCCTTGCCCATTGACAACTATTTGGCCACCCTGAAACTGGATGGTAATAATCAGTCAGAGTTCGACTCGGATATCTCCGTGCTGAGGGTCTACTTTGGCGATCAGTATGCTCAGTACTACATTCGATTGCTCAACAATGCCTGGTTCGAGGTGTTCAGTGAGTCGCTAGTCTGATTTGTAGAGATTTTCACAGTCTTCATGTGTGTTTTGTTGTGTGGTCTTCCAGGTACCATTGGCAACATCATGTCCATCTTTGTGGGCTTTTCCATGGTGGCCATCTTTGAGATTCTCTACTTTCTGTCCAAGCACATTTATATTGGCTGCAATCGCATTGTCGAGAAGAACCATGACGACAGAAAGGCCAAGGCGCTGGAGGAAAAACAGCTCTACATATGTCCATAGGATCCACACACCTTTGAGCACACTTTTCGAATATAATCAACAATAAAGTCGAACAAATTACTCACTGTTCGTTCATAGTCGCTTGTTAAGTGTATCCAAATTTGTTGTATGTTTCATGTTGTTAGATGTTTTGGCAAGGTCTCGGAGCTCTCCAGTCCGAATCCTGCCAGCTTCAACTATGATAAGCAGGGCAAGGATTGGCAGGTGCAGCCTGGCAAGCAACAATCTCCCATTGCCTTGGTGCAGAGTGAAGTGAGGAGCATCCATTTGCTGTCGAATCGTTGGGTTTAAATAGCCTCGTCTGTCCCAAAGGCACTTCGTTACGAGGGTCCGGAGTTGGTGTTCTTCAACTATACGAAACCCCTGTACAATCCTTACGTGACCAACAATGGGCACACGATACGCATGGACATATCGGCCACAATTGAGAAGCAGAATCCCGCACTCGCTGGCTCCAATCTGGAAACGGTTTACCTGGCACAGCAGCTGCACTTCCACTGGGGCTCCGAGCGGAGCCAGGGATCGGAGCACACCATAGACAGCCAGCGGTACGACGGGGAGCTGCACATTGTCCACAAGAACAGCTCCTACGAGAGCAACCAGGAGGCAGTACATCATGCAGATGGTTTCGTGGTGCTGGCTGTAATGCTGCGCTGCTCGGAGGTTCCCCAAGTGGAGTCGCCGGCGGTGAATGAGATCTGCAAAGAGGTGAAGCTGCTCCCAAAGTGCTACGATTCCTCACTGCTGCAGGCTAAAATTTCAATGCAAGATCTCTTTGCTGGCATCGATATGGACAAGTTTTTCACCTACAAAGGTGTGTAGCGTTCTCTGGGAATTACAGACTAATGTTTACCCTCTCTTAGGCTCGCTTACCTCCCCGCCCTGCTATGAGACAGTGGATTGGTTTGTCTTTCCGGATGCACTGGACATACCCAAGGAGCTTGTGAGTAATAGTGTCAAGTCTTTCGTTACTGAATTGCTCTCTTGCAGTGGCAGAACTTCTGGCAGCTGAAGGATCGGCGTGGCAAGCGTCTCATCAATACGTATCGCGACTTGCAGGCTCCCAACGCGCGTCCTGTGTATCTCTGTAAATTGTAAAAAGTTAATTATACATTTTGAAAAGTGCAACTGCCGCTATCCACCCCTCAAATGTAAGCTTTAAAAGCTTTCAGCTACCCCTAGAAAGACGCTTTGAAAGCTTCTTCGGACAGCTGACGCCCCCGCATTCAACCCCCAGCCGAGGCGTCGTTGAATGCATTTTCCAGCTGCGTAGCCAATCAACTGGTGTTCCGCACGGAAGTGTTTCTGCACTTTCGTTGGCTACAGTCGAGAAAAAAGATGAACCGAATTGACTGGGAGCTTGCAACACTTCGCCATGAATCGCCAGGAAGTTGTGTGGGTAAGGAAGGAGGATGCCCGGGTGCCCGGCAAGCTGCCAATTGTCTATTCCAAGAGCTACGCAGTGCGCTTCCATGGCCTTGAACGCCTGCACCCCTTTAACGCGGCCAAGGGCAAGCACATCCACAAGGTATGTATGCCCCATCCCTGGATTGTCCACTCAGGCTACCCTCCCGCAGGCTCTATGCACCGAACTTTCGCTGGCCGAGGGCAGCTTCTACGAACCGGAGGAGCTCACCAAGCACCAGCTGCGCCGCATCCACACCCGCGAGTACCTGCGTTCGCTGCGCTGGAGCCTGAACGTGGCCCGCATTGCCGAGGTGTCGCTGATGGCGTTTGTTCCCAACAAATATCTGCATCAGGGCTATCTGCGTCCGATGCGCTTCCAGGCGGCCGGATCCATTCTTGCCGGCAAGCTGGCCCTGGACTATGGCTGGGCCATCAACTTGGGCGGCGGCTTCCATCATTGCTGCTCGAACAGGGGCGGCGGCTTCTGTCCCTATGCGGACATCTCCCTGCTGATTGTGCGCCTCTTCGAGCAGGAGCCCTGCCGCGTGCGCCGCATCATGATTGTCGACCTGGACGCACACCAGGGAAACGGACACGAGCGTGACTTCAACAGCTGGGAGACCGTCTTCATCCTGGACATATACAATGCCTTCATCTATCCCAGAGATCACATAGCCAAGCTGAGCATCCGTTGCGGCGTGGAGCTGCAGAACCAGACCGAGGATGAGGTCTACCTGCGGCAGCTCAGCCGCTGCCTGATGCAGTCCCTGGCCGACTTTCGGCCCGACGTGGTTATCTACAACGCTGGCACTGATGTGCTCAAGGGAGATCCTCTGGGCCATCTGGACATCACCGCCGAGGGTGTGATGGAGCGCGACCGCTTGGTGTTTAGCACATTCCGTGCCCTGGGCATCCCGGTGGTCATGCTGCTCAGCGGTGGCTACACCAAGGCCTCCGCTCGCGTCATTGCCGACTCAATTATCAATCTCCGTCAGCACGGATTGCTGGACTAGGGGTAGAACATTCATTTTAAAGTGAAACTCTATTAATATTTAAATGTTTTATGTGTCTGACATGGAGCTGCAAATGGAACTCTGGCTGATGGAAACGAGCGCTGTGAAAGGAAACATGTTGAGTGATTGCATAGAAAATTGAATAACCCCCAAACCACAATTTATACTACGGCAGGCGGTGGCTTTTCTGATGAGTCCAATGAGATGGTTTAGATATATATTTAGATCAGGGGGTTTTGTTTTAAATGCATATCTCAGTGCACACTTGGTTTTACACCTTATCAAAATTTATTAACCGTACATAAGTTAAAGTCGTTACTAGAATATAGTTATTACTCGCCTATGTCTTCTATGAAGTTATGATTTTCAGATCATTAAGTTCAGTATCGTTCAGTATCGCAGGGGATGCAGAAGTTAGTATGAATAAGTAGCTCCCTGGACTTAGGATTATACCTACATAGCAGCAGTATTTTGTCAATATTTGTACAGACATGTGTGTTCCTTGGCATCCGTAGAGAGTTTTACATTATGTATCTTTTGTCTCTATGTACAATGCAAAAGCGGGCAGGGCACTGAGGAGCGTAGACCGGGAAGGGTTTAACGAGCGTTTCTTCTGGATGTGTGTGTTTGATTAAGTGTCTATTATATATATATGTATATGATACAAAATAGTCGCTAATTTACTCGTTTAAAGATACAAAAATACATACAAATAAATGGTTTACCTAAAGGTTTAAATTAGAAAGAATTAGAATATCATTTAGTGTCTTTTAGTTAGATCCCTTTCAGTGTGGGGGAGAACTTCCTTATGCGCGATCCGCTGACACTAACAGGCCGTCGGGGGCGGTAACCTAGAAGAGCACACACGTGTCAAAGAGTTGGGTTGGTGGTTCGATAGCTAACTACTCTAAGAAACTTCAGTCGCATAAGATCAGTTTTTTGCATGCAGATTTCTTGGTAATGAGTCGCTCGACATGATCATGACGTCGCTGTGGCGACAGCTGTGCACACCTCAACCAAACAATCTAAAAACAATAAATCTCAAATAAATATTACAATGGAAAACAAATTAAAAGAAAGACTAGGGAAATGTCTTTTTAGGAGTGGCTCCCGCAAAGCTGATGGGGAGTTTGTTTTTGCAATGGTGCGGTGCAAGCAGAGGCGGGCGCTAGCTGATGAGACTTACGCGGCATTGCTTGCCGGTAGATCCTCGAAGAGGACTTCCGAGCGGGAGCTGATGATGTACACCAGGCAGAAGGAGAGAATGAGCACCACAATGCCGACACTGAGCGTTGTGATCTGATGCACACTGGACGGACGCAGGAAGATGCGTGCACTAAACAGCGACCAGGTGGATTCCGTCCATGTAGAGTAGTTGCCCGAGCGCCAATCGTAGTCTGCAAAAGGGAACGCACGCATATTATAAGCATAAGTTGATGGGGAAGTTCCTTCCACTGCTCACCATCAATCAGAAAGGCTGGACTCAAGGCAGAGCTATAGTTCTGTGTGGTCAGACGGCACTCCCCGGCACCATTGAAGCCCGCAAAGTAGTGCAGCGGCAAGACGGTGCAGTTGTCTTTGGGTATCTTTGGCTGCTGTTGCGAGAGCAGATAGCCCAGCACACGATAGGTCCACCCGGATGACTCCTGTGGGCCGCCCAATACGCTTACGTACCTTTAAATAAAATTAATTAAAATTGTGTTCAAGTAGGAAAAGCAAATACCGAGCTTACCGCATTGGAGGCATGGGCAGACCCTTGGGACTGCCCGGATAGGATGCGGCCTTGAAGAGTGGACAGTCGGCCGACATCAGGAAACAGTAGAAGAACTCATCGGCCAGCACTGGATTGGCCACCTTGCTGCCCGTGTACTCCTTGCCAGTGAGCGTCTCGTAGAGCGCCATGGCCACAATGGAGGACACATTGCGCACTTTCATTTGCAGAGCGTCAGCCTTGAAGCCCTTGGTGTCGCCCACATCCAGCAGCAAGGTGAAATCCTGACTGGTGTTGCCATAGGTAAAGGCCACGTTATCCACATCATCGTAGATCGAGTGATAGTACTTATTGGCTGGCTTTGCATTCAGGATCAGAGCGGGGAACCTTGGGTCGCGCCGCAGGAAAGACTGCGCCGATGTGGGCGGTATGTGGTAGCTCATTTCCGACTGGATGTTCAGGTTGAAGCCATAACGCGGCGACTGGGCATAGCTGTTGAGCTGCTGCAGCAACTTCTGAACGAGTGGGGTGCCACTCAAAGCGTGCAGCTTGATGTTGGCTATGTCGTCCAGTGTGCCAATGTCCAGCATGAACTCAATGTTGTCGAACGTGATGGGAGCGCGGTGAGCGGACGCCTTGGGAAAAGCGAATCTCTCTACGTCGTAGACGAAGCGCTGGGATCCGATATAGTCGTAGGATTCGCCATTGAACGTCACAAAGAGCACATTACGCTTGGTATCGGGCAGCGAGCTTTGAGGCGGCAGCAGCTGCCTGAGAAGATTTGCCACCTGCGTTAATATGGCCAGTCCCACGAGCGAGTCCATGGCCCCCAGACCTGCGAAGAGTGTTATTGGTAATGATAATTATTAAACCCCGAAGGCAGCACTTACCCACGCCATCAAACATGCTGGCGGTATCCAGGCGACAGCTGACCAAAATGAACTTTTCCCTGGTTATAATTTCATTTACTTCCGATTCATCGGTCGTGATGTTGCGCGGATATACAGTGGCATAAACATTGCGACCCTCAAGCGGATCGCAGTACTTGCTGCCGCTCAAATTGTTGATGAAACGGGTGCGCCTTATGCACACCTCGGAGCTGACGGCGGCCGACATAAAGGACTTGACCTCGACGGCGCACAGACTGCGCTGGGCATGCGTCTCGTAGTCGAAGTTGTTGAACTTCTCGAAGCACTCCTCCAGCTTGGTGATTTCCTCAGTGTCGGCTATGTAGTAGATGGGAAAGGGAAAGTCCTCGTGCAGCAGGCCCGTGCCCCAGGGATTCCAGCTGGTGGCTGGATTGCTGGCATCACACGTCTCGCTGTTGTTCAGGCTGCTGTACTGGTTCGGGCAGTTCAGCTCGTGCGAGAATTGCTTCATCTTTTCGGGTTTGTTGATCAGCAGCACCACTGAGATGTTCTTGGGTCCGGCCTCTATCAGCCGCAAGAGATTTTGTCTAGTGAACAGGTGCGGTGGTATCATCGGGGCGTACGGCGGCGACGGAGGACTGGCGAGCAGAAACTCCAAGTCCGCCTCGACATTAATCAGATGCAACACGCCCACTGAGCCCGCGTGTGTGGCTGCAACGAAGCAGATGCTATGCTTGAAAGTCGTTCTCTATAGTCTTGTAGATAATACTTACAAGAGCAGCCAGTCTGATGGGTGCCGTTCAAGCGTCGAAAGCAGCCCGCGCCCACAATGGACTGGTACATCTTATCGCGCGTACGTCCGCCTTGAGCTGCAGAGAGGGGAGGCAACGACAAACAAACGACGGGTTATGTGAGTCAGCATTGTTGACTGGCCAATGAGGCTTTGGGTCCACCAAACGTGGGTGTAGCAGGCTACAAGTAGAAGGGCAAGCGCCAGACTTTTGGCGTCGCATGTCTCATTCTACCCGTATAACTGAAATAGCAAACGAAAGGTCTGCCAACAAATTCTTACCGACAGCAGCTCCGTGCAGCAGCATTAACAGCCATATTGCAGCCGCTTGTACCCGCTTTTCCATTGAAAGACCTTTGCAAGCTGTTTGCTTTGCTATTTGTTTGCGCTCGCTGACCAGTTCTTTTGCTGCCAAAATAGTTAAAATTGTTCACAGAAACAAAAACATTTTACCACTCGAGCCGTAGTGTTGGGTAAGCATTGAAAGTGAACCAGTGATGGAGGCGGTTAACATTGGCAACCAGAGTTGCACTCGACATTTTTTCGAATATTGAAATCATAAACCAGAATATAATAAAAACCCTGCCAAATCGTGTTTCCAAATTCTCGTATGACTTATTATTTACTAAAACATGATTACAGCTATAGTGTTCAAGTATGCATCTAAAACAGCGAATCTTCGGCACGTATGTACTCGCCCAGGTCAGATTGGTGGTAACAGACTGCCGTCAGTGGATCAGCGGTCTTGCAGTCGGTGGTGGAGCGTGCCAGAACCCCAAAGCCCAATGGCAAATCGCTCATGGAGTACACCACCACTCCCTGGTACTGTCCAGCGTTCTCGGTGATTCGCGCCAGACCGGACTTGGGCACGTTGTTGCCGTACAGGTACTGCTGTTCGAAGGAAGGCTTCACCCACACCTTGTGCTGTGCGTACGGCGCCAGATAGTACAGCGCTGTGATGTGGAACTTCAGTTTGTTGGTCTTGGAGAACTTTCCAAAGCATGTGCCCACGCTGACCAGTTGCTTGCCGCTGAAGCACTCGCTCAGCTTGAGTATCCGCTCGGACACATAGTAAACGCGGTCTCGCATCTCTCGGAAACAGTAGGTGCCGTCCGGGCGGTCAATCAGCTGCGTGACATTTGTTCCAATGCTGCAAGGAAGTTGATTAATGCCATTTCAATCGTATGTTTTTGTTACCTACTATTTGTTCAGCTTCTCGAACAGAATCTTGGCACGCTCGTCAGATAAACGCTTCATTTTATTGTATTTAAAAACAGAAAACCAAAGAGTGCGGAAACTACACGTGAGAGTTTGGTTCGTGAACGAAAACAAAACAGTTCATTGAAGTGAGCGAACTGAACCAGTTCACCTTAGCCCTCTTAAACCACCTTCAAAAAAAGTGTAATCGAACCAGCTTAACCTGACTTAAAATATTTATTTGTGTAAATTCTCCTTCATTCCTGCTTCATTACTTTCACAAGAATTTTGAGCCAATCTTTTTAGTGGGTCGACAATGGGTTAATTGTTCAATAATCGATTAAATCTAAATGTATAATTCCGTAGGACGTTAATTTGATCGTTTAATTCATTCAACACAAAATCTTAAGCTAAAGTTAATTACAGTAACTATTTGGCTTACTTACAATATCTAATAGTGTGTGTGCTTTGGCTAATACTACAAAAAATGTTTCTTATGAGCTATATACAATATCATAAATAAATACGCTAGTTATTTGAACTAATCTAAAGTTTATCACGTATATGGGAGGTCAGGCCGTTTCCGAGCGCTTCTGTGTGTAGTTGCGCTCCTTGAGCAACTCGTCCAGCTGCTGCTCCTGGTAGTAGACGACGAACTGCGCCGCTGACACTTGCTCGAAGATGGCGCAGATGCTGGGCTTCAGGTTGTAGAAGAAGAGCAGCTGTCCCCGCTGATTGAAGTCGCTGATCAGAGAGTCGATGACGGTCGCTGTGGTGAAGTCGGCCCCATAGACGTGCGAGGCATCGATGACGACGGGCACATTCTGCCGCATGGACTGCTTGTTGACCAGATTCCTGACATAGTCCACGGACGGAAAGATTAGGCATCGATCCGGCGTGATCATCATGTAGTCCGTGCCCGATTGTGTGGTCAAGAGCTCTGTGGAGAGTTTAGGACGCGCCGCATGATACAGTATGAAGATGACATTGAGCCCGACGCCAATTAGAATGCCCCATTCCAGCGGCAGCACCAGGCAGGCCACGAATGTACCCACGCCAGGAACCAAATCGCTCTCTGCAATAAATTTGATGTTGAATTAAATGTTTCATTTTCTTATTGCAGTGTAAACTTACTCTTCGCTCTCCACATGGGCTTAACCACCTTGACTTCGATCATGAACACCACAGCGGCTATAATGATGGCAGCCAGAGTGGGGCGCGGTATGAAGTAAAAGTACGGAGTGAGGAAGAGCAGAGCAATCATCACCAGACCTCCAGAATAGATATTGCTGAGCGGAGTGCGCACTCCGCTGGCGTTGTTGACAGCACCACGACTCAGAGCTCCGGTTCCCGGAAAGCCCTGCACAAAGGAGTTGAAGATGTTGGCCGTACCTATGGCAATCAGCTCCTGGGAAGCATCCACCGACTTGCCATTGGCTGAGAGAGTTCACAATGAAAAGAGACCAAAAGGACTTGCGAATCTTGTGGATCACTCACCGAAAGCCTTGCAGATGGCAATGTTCTCCATCAGGGAGATCAGCGGGATCACAATCAGGCCGGAGCCCATGCTGTGGACCATCTCCACGAAGCTCTCTGCAGCGCCACTGCTCGTCTCGTTGGCACTCAGCGAGGTGGGTGGCAACTGTACGCTGGGCAGGCCGGGCGGAATGTCTCCCACCACGCGGAATGGAGCACCGTGTTCCTCAGTGTGCAGCAGGTAGCCCATCAGGCAGCAGACCACCACCAGAATGGCATTGCGAGCCGTGCCCACAATCCAGAGTACCTTGTTAACAACTCGCTGGAAGCGAGAGCGCAGCGACTCATCTTCGGGTCCAATGCGGCGGGAGGAGAGTGAGCGCATGAGGAGCAGCACCACAATGCAGGTGAGGCCCAAGACGGTGTCGCCGGGTCGTGTGTGCTCAATGTTGTGAAAGACCTGCGTCCAGATCTCCACAAAGGTATTGCCCTTGGCCGTGATGCCCAGCACACTTTGGATCTGGGAGGTGAGAATGATGAGCGAGACGGCGGAGGTGAAGCCGGAGGAGACTGGACCCGAGACAAAGTCAATGAGAAAGCCCAGACCAAAGAGTCCCATCAGCAGTTCCACAATCCCAGACAGCAGACACAGCAGCACCGACTTTTGCCACGATCCCTGGGCCGCCTGGAAGGTCAGCAGGGCCACAATGGCCGAGGGACCCATTGGCACATCCTTGCAGCTGCCCAGAAAGATGTACACGAAGCAGCCCAAGAAGGAGGCATACAAACCGTACTAAAATGGAAGGGAAAAACTGATTAGATCATCATTAAAAATTAATTGGACAAAGGGTACTCACGGCTACTGGTAGACCTGCGATTCCAGCATAGGCCAGTGCCTGGGGAATCACCGTCAGGCCCACGGTTATGCCCGCCACCAGATCCCCGACTGCATCCTGGCTGCTGTAGCGCGGCAGCCACCCAAGGATGGGCAGTCTTTTGTGCAGGGTCTTGCGGTTGAAGGTCCGTCTGCTGCAGTCCTGCAGCCAGCCTCGAGTGCACTCTACCGTACTCCGCGTGGGCTTGACCTTCTTGCCGTCCTCGGTCACTGAAAGGTCAAAAAGAGAGCAGAGATAAGCAAGAGGTTTTTCCAACCGGAAATTGCAAGCCAAGCCAAAAGAAAAAAAGTCAACAATGAAATTCTTTACTGGCCCTACTCGCACTTGTTTCTTCTTTTTGTTATTGCTTGTCAAGTCGTTGGCTTCATTTTCGACTGTGATTCATAATCACGTACTACACAGCACCCAAAACTATCTGCCATGCACACATAGTGTGTTATTTAATTGTAGATATGTTTTATTTACTCTAGAGTTCTCCATGATCTCCGAGAATTTCATTGTCAAGGTCTTTGGGCCGAGTTTATCGGGTGAGAAAACGTGGAAAACAATTGGATGCATCTACCCCATAGACAGCACGTTTCGTATGCCCAATGTAAAAAAAAAAAAACATTTCATTTCCCTGGGAAATAAATGCATTTCATTGAGAATTTTAATAGCTGCCCGAAAGGAACTAAATTTGCACCTAAAATTATTTGAATAATAATAGCAACATTTAATGGCAGTTTGAAATTATTGATAAACTTTTTACAACCATTTTAATGGCTAAAATTGTTCAATTACTTTAATTTTGTTTTCACAATAAATCACTGAATAAATCATGAAACCCATTTATGAGCTTCAAATAATTCTGTATAATTTTTCAAACAAGACTTTAAAATTATAAATCCATTTAAAACAATCATTAAAAGGAATACGCAATTGTTTTAAAGACGTAATTACAAAGCCAACAATGTCTCTTTCCAAGGATGACTCTTCGAAAGCCACACACTTTTTTCACTTGTTCTATTAATCCCCTTATCTTTTCCAGGATTATTTATGCCACGCAATTTATAGAAAAGAAAACTCACATATAAATTCCTTGGATCCTGTAGATGATCCCACACTGTTGTTGCTGCTGCCATTCTGTTCGTTGAGGTTCGTGTGGATGCTGATTGTTGAGCACTTGAATCCATCGTTGAAGTAAACGTGATCCGATGCAGGATTGGACTTCATCTTCTCGTGTAGCTGCGCGAGGGGGAGTTCCCACACTGGAAAACAAACACTGCCGCCGTACGGATTTAAAGTTAATTGCACAGTCCCACAGTTGCGAATAAAACAAAACTCCAAACAAAGGCTGGGCGGGCTGAACTGAGCGCAGGTGAAACTTCTGCGAGTGCCGCCTCCGACAATAAAGTTTATACGATCAACAGAAGCACGCGCCGCCTGGTACTGGCGGAGTCATAGGTGGTGCATCTGTATATTAGATGACTCGCGGGGAGGGTTTGAGTATTAAGTAACTTTTTATAGACGCACTGAAACTGTCTCGGAAATGCTCGGTCGGTCAGTCGGCTCTTCGCACGGCAACGTTTCGAACGAAACTGTTTTGTACTTGATGCGAACCTTGTCTTTTATAAAAATCAAAACTTTGTTTTCGCTGCTGTCTCGTTGAGTCGTCATCGTCGTTATCGTTTCTCACCGCATATATCCCAGTCGGGTTTGGGTTTTGTGTTTGGGAACCCGACCGATCATCGACATATTACCTACAATAGTCGTAGATGTGCGTTAAACAGATAATCGAGCATAGCGGTAATGGAAAAAGGGCAGCAGGGATAAGGGAGAGTGTCTACAGAGGCCCAAAAATGATTAAAGGTTTCCCATTGCGTGTTTGCCTCTCCTCTTTGAAGCACTTAGTGCTCGAATTTCAGAGTTCGGCTGAATGGAAAGGAAGTTGTAAATTCTTTTCGTATTAGTCCCCAATTATTTGTGTGGCTCGGCAATTTTCGAGGCACTCTCCCAACACGTGAGCGATTGTCACTTGGTTTTTTGTTGTTTTCTCTCATCATTTTGAACAAATTTAATGGAAAGTTACCCAAAACACAACTCGAGGGCGGAGCCACAAATACACCGATTTTTTTGGGGATATCCAATGTGGGTGTTTTTTGTTGAAATTTTCCATTCATTGGAATGCATTTCATTCGGGTCTTTTCTTTGGCTTTCAAACGAGTTCTAGTCGGGGATTCACCATGGAGGAGGATGGGCCAAACCAAGTGTTAAACCAGATTCGACTGGATCATTCTGCCGCTGCTGCTGCACACCAAATCACTCTATAAATCACATATACATTTATATGTACATTTATATGTATGTATGTGTGTGTACAGGGCAGTCAGGTGCTCGTACTCGTTTACTTTGGCTTAGTTTCTTTTGTTTCCATTTCGATTCTTTGCTTCAGTTGGTACGTAAATAAGTAACCCTTTCGGCCGCAATTTATTTGTGTAAAAATATATATACCTAATTATATGAAACTTGTACTGATTTCCGGTTCAATATATAATTTTTTATATGTTCCATATCGAGGTGCATTTTTCACTGCATTGCCTGCCCCAATCGTGCACATTTTTCCACTCAATCCTCGCCCTATTCCTAGAACTCACTTTGATGCAGAGCAATTTGCCATCGAAACCCCATAAACAATAAATTGTTTACCTCGGACATATTTGTCGCAAGTATTCTAAACATATTCGAGATGAACTTGACACCTTGGGAATGGGGTTGGACCCTTCGCCAGATATGGCCAAGGCGCAAACAAAAGCCGAGATGCCGAGATGCCGAGAAATGTCATGGATAAATAAATACACACACAACATACTCGTATGATATTTAAATGCAGCCTTCGGTGACAGCTTTGGGGTCGAATCGGTTTCCAAGGGAAATGCGAGAATTGAGGCTGAACATAAAATGGGCCTTAATATTTTTGTTCGGAGATCCGTTTGTAAATGCATCTGATCTGAGAGCTGAGAGCTCAGATCGATTTCTAAAGGTTGTCGCATAACGAATGGAAAAACTAGAAAAAATGCATATTAATTATTTGATTTGGGTGGAAACTTTCTATGGGCCTCAGTTTGTGAGTTATTTATAGGCCGTTTAGCTAAACTTTATTGGGTTTGTTCGTGTTAAATTCATAAATTATGGCAATAAAATTGGCTAATTTATGGCATGTGTTGAGGCATTGCACTTGGAATTCAAGAGAACATCAAAATCCAAACAGACTTTGCCAAAAAAGCTTCCTAGACAGCCATCAGCTGATGCTGTGACAAATGGAATTATTTAAATTAATTGAAACGGGCTTCATGTGATAAAAGGCCATAAATATGATTGTCTTAGAGCCCGGCCAAGTTCAGAGACAACACGGCAAGTGTATGGGTAGCTGCTACCCATTAACGTTTGAAGTATTTGAAGATAAAGCGGAGCTATGAGATGAGCTCTTTATTCAACTTCACTGAGTATCCCCCAAGTCGACTCGCACACCTTCCCGCAACTATCTTACACGCTTTCAATAAATGTTTGGGCACATTTGTTGTTGTTGTGCGTTTCGTTTCCTAAACGCAGTCCAATGACTTGAATACGATACGAGTATAATCAGTCAGCTGGCCCGTAGTTTATTGGCCAAAACACATTTTTTTACTTAGAAAGAGACGTCAAGACGCCGGCAACTGGTTTCCCATTCATTCAGATCGATCCCAGTGCCCCCAGATATCCACTCGATGGAGAGGCAAAGACAAACTGTAGAGAGGTATATCCCGCCGGTTGCTGAAATTTCAGCTGATTTTGGATGTTGTCAAACAAGCTGGCGCCCGAGATAATGCCATGAATGCTCAAGTTATTTGAATATACTCGTACACTCTAAATGCTTTTTCCTTTGTTTTGGTTTATTTTTAACTATTATTTCGAGAGACAGACAGACAGAGAGAGAGAGAGAGAGACAGCGGACGGGGGTGTGGTGGCCGCTTTTTGATTAAATTTGTGTTAATTGCATTTCAGTTGAAGCTTCCCCCTAACGTAATAATTGTTCCCGCACTCGAATTTAATTAAAGTTTGCTCCCACATAAATATGTATGAGTATTTTTTTACACGTGTGCAACGAGAGTGAGGGAAGTTGCGAATTCCAGAAATATTTTTGCAACATGGCCAGCAATTCAAAGCCTAAAATTGGCACTCCACTCCATTTTTTAGAGACAACACTAATCACATTGTTATCCAGTTAATAAGCCGAACTGTGACTAACAGGAAGTTATCCACTCAATCACAAAATTGCAATTGTTTGGGCTTTTGTTTACTTTTATGTTCCCCACTTTTTTCGAGCGTTTGGTTTGCGGCTCAAATTACAGGGCCAATTGCAAAATATATTTCACATGACTTGAAAATTGCCATAAAGGGCGTAACCTAGTAGCAGCGCCTGGGCGTGGCCGATCGGCGTGCAATTTTTAGAGAGCCAAGCACGCCGCTTCCGATCTTCCAGCCATTTCTAGACTTTGATGTGTGGCCGAAAGCTGTAATTCGTAACGCACCATTGGAGCCGTGGAAACAGGGTTTTTGGGGGGCAAACATTTGCGGCTTATCATGGGAAAATTACGTATACGCTGTGGCAGCCTGCTCGGCAGCGATAGACACGTGCCAGCTGTGCTTCGGGGTCCGATCCGCATTCAGGTGCATTTTAGTTTGTTTTTATAGCAGATAAAACCTTTACTCTCTTGCTTTTATGAGCTATTGAGGAATGCATAAATAAGCTTTATAAATAATTCAAAGAGATGATTTTTTTCTTGAAAATTAACTTGCTTGACCCAAAGCTTTCTAAGGTAGTAGAACAATATTTAAATAAGTGTTTCCCCGCTTAGAATATCATACTTCATTTTTATTTTCAATTTCCGAAAGTGCTCTCATTTAAATGGTCGTAAAGTAAATTGCGGAACGTGACTGTAAAACGTTTGGGGATAATTTAAAAGCCTGTATGTACATATTGGATTCCGATTTCTAAAATGAGACTTATGCAGTTGCCCGCATCTGTGTTGATAATTCTTTTCCTGAAGTTTGTGCTAAAAACCAAGTCCACAATGCCTCCAAAATATTGGTTCCCTTTTTGGCAAGTGCTTCGTGAATAACTCAATTCTTGATGTCCAAAGCATGCCCCGACTAAAAATGGATTGTGTACTCGTACTCGTATTTCCTATGCCCAGCAGGCTGTCTGTCATGGGGAATAAATCGCAGCGTAAGCAACGCTTTAACAAATCTTTCCAGTCTCATAAACGGGGTTTCATAATCTTTATCAAGCTCCGTCTGACTTATCTTATAAGTCAGCTCCCAAGCGGGATATTTTCGGCCGGCTTCTGTTTGATTTGATTTGAATATTTATGAGTTTATTGTTTTGACTCGGCAGATTTCGGGTTTGTGATAATTTTGCGATTTTTATGCAAAACGCGTTTCACCCGCCGCCGATTACGCAGCAAAGAAAACCACAAACTTGAATCAGTGCGGATTCTTATCTATCCCATAAAGATCAAACATTAAAATAACTTGACACGATGCCATTGACTTTAATATGTCTTTTGTTGGATGCAGTCGACGCGTCGCCTTTGTCTGAAACCAGTTCAAACAGCATTTATCAAACTATCCATTTCCCCACGAGACAATTTTAGAATATAAAATATAAAGTCTGGGATCTGTTGCTGAATTTTGCACGGTCTGTAGACAAATTGCGACTTGCTCTTTGCCTTAAACGCTAGTTAATCGACCAATTTAGGAAATCTTCCTTTTGAACACGTTCTCGGGGTTCCGTCACGTAATCTAATTAATTTCCCCTGCCGCGTGCAAATAGTTATCGAATAGTCACCACGAAATGCATTCTTTTAAGTGACATAACTTATTATTGAGTAAAAGCAGCATAATATTGTTTTCCTTTGGTCTAGACAAACTACCAGCCAAATGAAATTTCCATGATTCATTTAATTGACACCTCATTGAGGGTATTATAAAATTAACACATTTTATGCTATCTCTTGATGCGAATTAGCATGTGGCTTCTGCTTTGACGGAGTCATAAACAAACTGGTAATCGGTGTACGCTAAAAGTTAATCGACCGTTTTATTGCGTCAATTGGTGGTTGGCAAAATCAGTTGCCAATAACAGAAGATCGCCAAAAAATATATTTACAACTTTCGAAATGGGAATTTCCCCCTACAGTCACTGTCTCTGTCTTCTTTCTGTGGGTGTCTCCTGTCTTTTTTCTGAGGCTGTATCGATGGCTCTATTGTCTGTCTGTGCGATTTGGAGATTCTGATGTCAGGTCTGAAAAATGTCATGGGCTTACCCCTTGGGCCCCAATTACAATTGGAATGCCAGCTGTTGTTGTTTTATTCTCTCTATTCAGTTGTTGGCCAAACGTTTTATTGTTTCGCCTCGATCAAATGGCACCGGAAACGCGATTTCATTGACTTTGGCCCGCGTCAAACTTTAGTTTTCTAGCGCATTCTAATATTATTTTATTTTATTGAATATTTATGTGCACACTATTTCGAATAGTATTTTTGGCGCCCGCCTAATTCCTATGCAAATGCACTGAAACAAACACACACGCACGCACACACAGTCGCATTCGTTGCAGGTAGATCTTCGGTCTGTCTCCGCTTCCTTTTCTTGCGGTCTCTTTCGCGCAACCGCTTGGGCCCAGCCAGCTGAATCGGTAAAGTACACAAGCCTAACTGTTGTTCGGCTCGGCCATCACCTGTGTGCGAAGGTATATGCAAGAGAAGGTGAGTCGGTTCCGCTTCAATCTCTCTTCCGCTCGCTCTCTTTTGTAATGCATTACAACTAAACAGAGACAGCCTCACCTCCCATGGAATGTAGCTTTCTTTTGGCATTGAGAGTGTAATGTCACTGCAAGCTAAGCTTTGCGAAGCTTTTCGCGTTCTTTCTTCGTTACTCTCCCTCTCTCTCTGCGTCTCTCTCTCTGGGCCTGTGTGGCTGTGTTCGTTATATTTTTGTTTATTTTGGTTCGATGTGAGAAATTTGAAAGTAAACAGCGAAAGGCGTTGGCATTACAAACGTTACTTACATGTTAATAACATCTTGTAATATATACACCATTAGTATTTTATTAATCAATGTCGATTAGGTATCGATTAAGGTTAGATAACGTTTCATTTCAGAGCGCTACGAGTGCAGTCCAATGGAACACATTGCACTGGGCATCCTTGAATACCAAATAGTTTGGGAAAGGTGTACAATTTATGGAGGTTTACTGCTTTGAAGAAAGTTGCTAGAATCGAGAAACGTTTTGCTTACTAGAACACATGAAAAGCTAAGGTGAACTAAAGTAAATAGTTGAACATCTAATGCCTCACGAAATAGTTAGCGTATGGAAACATACTGCCTTGGTGTGATAACAAAGAAACTATATTTTCATATCTCGAAATCGGCATTCGGGCGTTACCTACCGTTTGAAGGTTTCAATTAACAGTTCAGCTGGAACGCTCCAAACACTAAACTCTGGGCGCTTACCATCCATCATTAAAAAGCAAAGCATGAATTTGTAATCGAATTTTTAAATTTGATTAATATTAAATAGGACTATTATTTGTTATTAAAATAAATACCGTTTATACGACCTTTCTACCTTTTGCCAAAGGGGATTATCGCATTGTGGCTAATACAAAATTGTAGGTTACTCTTTCCTGATTGACAATTTAATTGATTTAATTTAATAAATTAACAACAGCAGCAATACGATTTTAATGGTTTTTATTATTAAATAATATCATAAATAACTGCTACGGACAAAACGTTTTCAATGGGGAAAAAGTTCATAACTGGCGAGGTATCTTTGAGCTGAAATCAAAGCTGCCAGGACCTCAAATATTATGGTATTGATATATTGATAGATATTCTTTTTTTCATTCGTTAATTGTGGTCTGTCTGGGCTATGAGCTAGTAAAGCCATTACATACAAAAATTAAAATGTTTCACATTTTTAACTGCGATGTTAAGCGAGATCCACAGGTGCAGCGAGAGAATGTTGCTTATTAAATATGATTTTCTTTTTCGGTTTTCCTTCTATAATTGTTGGACACACATACATATAAAATTACAATAAAATTGTGCAGACATTTTAGTTTAGTTTTACAAATTTAAGGAATACACACTAGGGATTGGTTAGGGATATCTATAGAAAACCTTTATCAGATAATATATATGTATATTGTTCTGTATATCGTATTGTATAACGCGACTTTGGGTGAGAAGCGAATAAAATTGACGGTGGTATATATGAAACTTATACAATAGAACGACCTTTAGGCTAATGGCGATTGTAACTAATTCTGTCCTTCCTTCCTTCTTCTTTTTCTATTCATTGGGTGAGGGCGATGGGGGATATGATCTTCATCTTTTTATTGGTTTTACTGAGGCACATTTGATGGATCACTAAAGGGAGATAAACGCCAAGCTTCGATTCGATTCGTCGTAAGTCCCGTCCTTCCGGCTTCTAGAAATGTTTCCGCATGTGGGCGGACACCACGAAGGGCGCCAGCAGCGAGCAGATCGTCATCAACATATTGACCAGAACCTGAAGATTGGCTGTGGATGGATTGTGATTGTTACTCATTTTAATTCAGAATATCCCTACTCTTGTACTCACCTCCACTGCAGATGTCGTGGAGTATATCCTCCACGTAGCCGTTGTCATTGTCACAGAGGCACAATTTGGTCTTGCTCGACATAAACTTGGAGACGCCGATGGTGCGGTTGCTGTTCTCATACTGGCATACCATTCCGTCCTCACAGTCGTTGTTGCTGTTGCACTTGTGACGCAGTCCTGAAAATGGTAGAGTTGGAAGAAGTCAGTCATCAGGAAGCCAAAGATTAAGCTGAAACAAATTTAGTCCCCGCTAAGCAGCTATTCCTTAGCTCCTAGATTATTTATTTCACAATCCAAGCCCCATTCTATATTTTAGGCATGCAAGTAACGTACGAGTACGAGTGTATACAAGGTAATGCATATCATCAAAATTTGCTCTGTATTTTCAGTGCATGTCACAAATTGGCACTGCGGCGATTTGCATTACCATTTGGATGTTCCCTCGGTTCCAGTCACGACATCCTAACATAAATCCCTTCTTCGACATGGCGCTGCCATTAAGGAAAGGCCTCAGTTCTAGGTCTCCGTCCACCACCCAAGTAGGTCCTGAATGCAGTGAAGAGAGTAAGCAAGCCAGAGGGGAACAATGGGGATTCAAGAATCCAAGGAGCCCAACAGCAGAGGAGCACAAGTGTGAATTGCGCACGAAAACTAAATAAATAAAATGCAAACACAGCGGACACAAGGAGCCTCGGAGGGTGTCGGAGAAGCCATCTGCTAGTATCCATCTGGATGGATGCTTTGTTTAATTCTCATTTAGGTGGCGCCTTGGACATCACCCATCGCCCCACTGCCTGACTGTCTACTTGCCACTTGAGGCACATCAAGAAAGAGACACAGCAGCAGGTGAGGACAGAAGGCGGCAGCCTCTTAAATAATAAATGTAATGTGCATGTCTTAGCAATTAGTTGACGTTTTGTTGCCTGTTCTATTTCCAGAATCTAGCCAAGGAAATCTATTCCAAAGCAACCCGAAAACGCTGCTACAAAATAGAGAAAATCTTGAATGCAAAGAAAAACTAAAATTCCATTGTAATGTTTCCAATTCATCCAACCTGATAATCTTATTTGAATTGGTTCCTATAGAAATATACGTACATCTTTTTTATTAATGGAGGAACCTTGATTTTAGATTCTTTTCGTATTTTTGTTCAATACAATATCTTACCTTTGAGAACATCCGGACAGTTTCCAGCCGAGGGTGCCGAATCATCGCCGCAGAGGCAACGCATTTTGTAGTCATTGGGGTCCTTAACACAGCTGGTGCGATCTATCGCTGTACAGTCATCATGGGCATTGCATTCGCGTCCTTTGACTGAATGAAATTAAATGTAATCAAGAGAAAGTAAAACGTTAAATTAGTGGCAGGTAGGTTTGCTCAACTAATTTCACACTAATTGTGTGATTATTTCCCCACAAATTATCGGCTACTTATCCTATCTATTCCTTCTCGTTTACCAACTCCAGCACCAGCACCAGCACCAGCACCAGCCTATTACTAACTCCAGGCCAACTCCTTGCATGTCTATTGTACCTATTGGTTCATGCCCCCGACTAATGTCCGTGATTTGGCTGGAAGCGTGGGTTGTCATTGCATTTGAGTGACTTGTTTGATCAATTCCTGATTTATGTGTGCCGCTGGTTCTGTTCCATGAGCATGTCATTCAATTGCTGGCGCTCTGCCATAATTACTATTCCGTTTATTTATTTGGGGGGGGGAGAAATCCAAAGACAATCAAATGACAATTGATTGGCTTTGGGATCCAACTATTTGTATGGAAATTAAGATACTGAAAGTCCTAATTAACGATTGGGTTTATGTGTAATTGGATTAGAAAGTAGCAAAGGAACAGGGTCTTAGTAAATGTAGAAGGTCAACGTTTAACCGTAGAATAAAATACGTAGAATCGAAATCAAAATCTGCCCCTAAAAGCTAGGCAACTATTATAGCTGCCTAGTGTTATTGTGCTTTGGTTTAACTTCTAATAAATTTCAAATAAACAGTCTGAAAATTGTCTAAACCAAAAGAGAATTTCCACCTTGCCTGTACTCAATTGTAATCCTTTCAATCACCGAATACCCCAACTCAAATCTGGCTAAAACATTCCCCTAACACCAGCTTGACCTTCCCCACAAACTCCAATTGGAACTCAGGTGCTCAAAGCTCCGTCTCCCCTCCTTTGTACTTACCAATAGGCATATGCGTGGGCGGCGGCCCATTATTGGTCTTTCCGAAGGTGGTCAATGCCGTGGAGCTGACCCCGAAGAGGATGATGAAGACGCCAAAGAGCATGGTCAGGCTGCCGCACTGTGTGAATCGCTTTAGGGGCTGCATTTCGGATGTTAGCGCGTGGGTGGTTGAGGGGCGAAGGTTAAAGCCAAAATCGAAATCGAATCTGAGGTCGAAGCTAAGGTTTTTGGAAAGGATTTCGCAGGTGTTATATAAAATCACGGCACACAATCGGCTCGGTTTGTCCCTCTCCCAGGGAATTTCTCACGCACTTTGAAAACTGAAAAACTGCCCAGGGGCTTCAAGTCGGTTTGTTTAAGGTTTCGCTTTGACGCTTTAGTTGTTTTTGCGAGGCAACTTTATGCAAATTCTCACACCAAAATTGTTTCCGGTGGCGAGAGTCCGAAACAAAACTAAACCGCACGGAAGGCGTTGACTGGCAAACGGGCCACTAAAAATCCTTTAAAATTTGTACAAATTGTATAGGTATTTGGTGTGCTTTGGTTTTGTTTTTCCCTTTAGATGGTCTTCTCACGAAGAGGGTCTTGAAAGCTCGAACCAGTCGCCTGCGCGTTCGGAGTGCAAGTGAAGAATTCGCGGCGCACACGGGTCTTAAGTTGGGCTCGACGTCGCTGCCGACTCGCCGGGCTACTTGGCGCTCGCGCACGCTTCTCTTCTCAAAGGCGCACCAGCACTCCCCACTCCGCACCCTGCACCCCTAATCCATGCCAAGTCCAGCTACCTGCTCCGACTTTCGCCTTGCTGTTGCTCAGCACAACAGAGAGCCTAAGTTCCGTTAACAACGCTTGCTGTACACCCTTTTGGCATGCGAGGAAGGAGCTGGAGGAGAGACAAGAACAAGAGGACGGTGAGAGCTTTGATCGGGGGAAGCTTGGGATGTTTACAGTAAATAAATACTCGAACTTGACATTGCTTGCATTTTTCTGAGAAGAATTAATATATGTTTACATATGTACATATGAACATATGTATGCATGAACGTGCATGTTGCTTTTGCCAATCAGTGAAAACGATCGTATAACTGGATTATCTCGAATAACCTGAGAGAGCAACAAAACGCAGCTCATAAGAATGTTTTGCACTCAATGTGCAGTTCATTAGAAGAGCAGATCTCTTGCTTAAAATTTAATTTATTTCATCAGGCATCCCACTCGTTTTGCACTTGCCACATCATTTCCGTACCCACTGCGCTGATTTGCAGGCATCCATAAAATGTGATTCCCATCCGGACAGACTCACACAAAGCACATGCATGCATAATTAAGAGATCCCCAGAGCAGGTGAAGGGTATTCCATACACTACATTAATGTTAGGGGTGTGTGTGTGTGTGTGTGGGAGGAGCAAGGGTTAGTTTGGGCGCCAAATCTCTAGGCAGATTCTGAACTTGCCAGCTCCATATAATTTGTATATTATACGGGTTCGTATGGCCTGCATGGTTGTGACGGGCGGGGAGGGGCGAGGCGACACACAAGTAAGTCGGATCCAACGCACTTGTAACTTGCTTCGTTGTTTCGTGAGCGAGTTTTTGTTAACGAAGATGGATTTTTATACGCGGTACGAGTGGGACATCAAGGCTATATTGTCAGCATGGCTAAACATGTGTGTGATGGATATATGAAAGGGTTTTCGAGCCCAAGTCGTTATGAATCTACTATTCCCTGATATATCCCCTGCTATTTAATCCTATTCGCACATCTCTGTCTGCTGTGTGCCCTATCTTCAGTGTCTGAAGATAAGCATTAAGAGGTATTCCCCAGTGCGACTCTTGCCTAAAACATTCCCAGTAGTATTGCTGTCGTTTTGTGTTTAGTTTTACCTTCGTGCAATTTTTTATTGTTGTTGGCACGACCTCGCCTCGTCCTCGTCCTCGTCTTGGGCCCACAACTGTGACTGTGTGTGTGTATTCAAATAATGACGAAGAAGCCTACTTTTTTGGGGTCCGTAGAGTTTTGAAACGGCAACAATAACGGCACAACATTAGCACGCACCAAAAGCAACAAGAAACAAAAAGCAAACCACTACTTAAAGGCAAATACCGCTACTCGCTCTAAGCGTCTCGCTCCATTTGGGAGAGTTTCTACACCATTGAAAGGCCCTTTGGAGTTGACAAAATGAGAAAGAGAAAACGCCATAATATATTTATTTTTTGAAACTATTCTGGCCTATAAAAACTGAGTGCTCTCTATGATGGACACCACATTCTCGGCCATGTCGCAGAGATGGGTATAGGTCTGCATGTAGAGCGCGTCACGGTAGTACTTCTTGGAGCGCATTTTGTGTAGAACATAGAGCGGGGGATTGTCGCGGCGAAGTTGCCGCAGCAGAGGGCTGGTCTCCTCCTCCTCCGAGTTCTCCTCTTCGCCTTCTTCGAGGGACTCGGCATAGAAACAGGCCAGCTCCGACTTGAGGGAGCTCTGCTCGAGAGACGTGACTAGCTCCTCCCACTCATCCAGGCCGTTGCCTATGCTGCCCCGCACGTAAATTAAGCGAGATCGATCCTTCTCAGCGCTGTGAGCAACGCAAAGGGGCGGGCACTCATTGAAATCCCCACCCCCCGAGCCGCACTTGAGGGAGCACTTGACTTGGACGAGCTTCTTGAAGTTCTCCTCCCGCTGCTCCGCTTCGGGCAGGCGCAGGATTACTTTTTTGATCGTTTCCAGGCGCATATCCCACTCCGGCTCGCGGGGCTTCTTCAGGGCTTGGTAGAGGCTTTTGAGGGTCTCCAGATCGTCGAAGCGTTCGCAGTGGTAGCCCGCGTTCTGGGAGTTGAAGATCTCGCGGTCGTCGAAGATGCGCTCGTAGGGACAGAGCAGCTCGTGGGGCTGAATGAGGGGCACCAGAGTGGCCTTGAGCTCCGTTACCTTTTGGGCCATCTGTGTCTTTGACTTGTCCAGCACACGGTTCAGTTGCTTCTCAATCTTCCGCACATACTCCGGGGCAGGCAGACACTTACCGTGCAGCTTCAGCACAATGGTGTCCCGATGGTTGCAGAAGACATTGGGGAACACTCGGAGCTCCCAGCGCTGCTTATGCACCAGGCAGCGTCGTGGCCGGAACAGAACTTTCGTTTCATGAACCTCCCCGGGGAAGAGCGCAAAGTTGGTGCGTTCCAGGAAGAAAGTGTCAAAGTTGGAGCCCAGGAACTGCGGTTTGCTTTTGTAGAACTCCGAATTGGACCACTGGCAGGTGATAACCTGCCGACCCACGTTCTCCAGGCGCAGGACCTGCTTCACCACGTTCTCGTATGGATGGCACTCGAAGTAAATGTCCCAGTTGACAATCTCACGGCTACGACGTTCGGGCTGAAGGAATATCTCATCGTTGATGCGAAGAGCCACCGCAGGGATGATGGGCTCTGGCGGACCTTCTCCAATCTGCTCAAGCTCCGCCTGTTCCTCCTCCTGCTCGAGGTCCGTCGACTGCTGGGTGCTGCTGCTGATTTTGTAGAGAGTTTCAGTGGACAGGCGTTCAATGTCGTTGAGGACGTCCAGCTCCTGGCGATTCAGTACCTCCTGCATATTGGTGCCCACCACCTCGAGATCGTCCACATTCGGATAGTACTGAAGCACCCGCTTAATGTCGACGCATCTCTTCTCGATGCTCTCGTCCAGCAGCTCGGAGCCAAGCCACTTTTGCTTCTCTTTTTCGTGTGAGTTTTTCACACTGTACATTGGTCCCATTATCTCCTGCTTGGTGGCTTTGGTTAGCCCAATAATCTCCACATTGGCTGCTCCCTGTCTCTCGGCCAGTGGCAGAGTCTCCACCAGCTTGTTCACCTCCTGGCAATGATTCGTGTCAAAGTAGGCAGGCAGTTCCACGGGTCGCTTGACGGACAGCGATGTGGGATTCATTCGCGTGGCATAGTCCATCAGACGCTGGACTGTGGCCTTGTCCCGCTGCTCCACTGTGGTGGGCAGATTGATGAGCATTTCGTTGGCACTTCGACCGATCTTGCGCTGGATTCTCATCTGCGTCTGTGTGCGGTCCTGCAGCGTGTCGTACCAGAGCTTCAGGCGCTTGTCCATCTCCACTGACGCTTGCACTTCGACATCCAGCGAACCCTGCGAGCTGGACAGATTGGCCATGCCCTGCTTGCTGTCGAATATTTTGTTGACTATATCCTCGACGATCTTCTTGCCATCCTGCTGACTGACCTCCTTTAGGGAATTGGTCCGCGCAAATAGCTCTGAGGTCGAGGTGGAACTCACCTCCAAATCATTATCAGTGGAGTCGCTCTTCGGCTGCCCAATGGTGGTCAGAAATGAGGCAAGATATGATCTCTGTCGCGGCATTTTCTTTAAATATTTAAAATATATTTTTAGATTGTATTTCTGTTGAATTTTGTCGTAAGAGTTTTGGCAACTATGCTTGCTAGGTTCAGCTTTTACCCCTGCTCATTCTCTTATGTTTATTTCGTGGTTGGTGCATGCACCTAATTACGTTTCAGCTTGCAACCACCAAATGAAGCCTCAGTTGAGTGGGCGCTTGTTGCTTTTTGGCAACACAAAAGGTTACAGGCCACGCCTCCTAGCCCCCAAAATAAAGCCAATCTCACAAATCACCATTTAGGTGGATATCGAACAGCGGCAAAGGCGAAGCGGATGTGCAACTCTTTTTGGGGGCAGGGCAGGGCAGGCAGCCTGTCTCGAGGAGGGGAGGTTCATTCTTTGCTTTTGGCCAAGTCAATAATTTACAGCAAAGCGAAAACACTTTGGAGAGCTCTGGCTGGCCTCTAGACATGAAATATTTCCCAATTTTATAAACACAAATTCTTTTCAGTTTATTTTAGGGCCCTTCCGCATCCCATTCTGGTGGAAAATGTCAACATTTTCGGTTGAATTCTCTTCGGTTCGGGCTCGGACTCCGGCTCTTGTTCTTGTTCTTTGGCTGTTCTGCTCGTTTATCTGGGCTCCACAATCTCCTTATAAACGATGGTTTTAATCGCTGCGACAGCAAAAACAATTTGCCCTTAACTAAACGCGCAACATTGCGGCGAATTCATTTTTTGGCACGCACATCGCAGAGACCGGAGACCGGAGACCGGAGCACCGAGTCCTGCCAAGGAATGGAAACAAAAAAACAATCACAAAAATCGAGGGGATATTCCAGTAATTAGGATACATTTCTCACTAAGTGAAAGCACTGTGGTATGAAATGGGAATTATCTGCTGATCAGCTCTATGGAAGTGAAGAGAAGAAAAAGAGAGAAGAGAGAATTTATGCTCTGTTTTTATCCAACAATCTAAAGTGGAACCTCTTAAAGTCATAATTTAAAGGATATATTCTGAAGTATATTCTGATTTCCATGCCTTTGCACCACTGCACACAATCTACGCAAATCGTAGCCTTAGCCAGCGCAGGCTAAATCTGAAATAAACCTTTGTGTAAACCATATCGTACATTCATATATTATGAATAAATAAATTGCTTTTAATTATTATTCAAAAGAGGCAGCAATCCACGTCACTGGACTGGGAGAGGGGGCAGACTCCTCATGCGGCAAAAGTCGTAGATTTATTTCAGATATTTTATTCTTGACATTATTGATAAATGTGTTCTCGGACGGCAGGCAGCAGCAGAAATAAATGAAATGAAAACCGGGAAAATTATATAGAAAACTCACGAAATCAGAGACTGCAACGAATCGGAGGAGCCTCGTTCTCCGGAACCTACTCGTACCCCTCCATGCCCTCCCTGGCTGGTAATTAAAGAACTAATTCCCTTTCAACAATCCGAGCGTCATGTTTTGGTCTTAACTGATGATTAATTAGTTTGGGGTCCGACTGTGGTGGGGCTTCCTTCCTACGTCTATGGCCGACCCCGACGATATATAATTTTCTCACGAAATCTCATCGGGGCTTACTCATGCCTAGAGGTCATCACAATTTTGCTGATTATACGAGCAAACGGTGAACGGAATCGCGTCCAGCTCTCTCGAAGAAATGCCAATTGAAGTCCTTTAATTTCATATTAGGCTCCGGGCTCTAATTGCACACTCCACCGAATGGCTGTAAGGGGGATGGGTGACCCTTTTCCTCAAACCTTTTCCCTACATGCAAGCAAGTTTGTTGCCGTGCGTTCCTGGACATGCACAGACCCCACCCCAGCCCAGCCCCGCCAGTGGAGGCTACCGAATGTTGCATGCAAGATGGTCAAAACTACTTGCCGCGTCGATAGCCGCAACTTGTTGTAGCCTTGTCTCCTCGCCAGCGCCAGCGCCAGAGCCAGCATCGTGTGTGGCCTGACCAAATAACCTTTCCATGACTTTCCCAATTTATCATTCGAGTGGCACTGCAGGGAAATGCACATGCTACAAGAACAAGTGCTCGTACCACGATTCCTTCAAGTTCATTTGCTAATGCACACCTTGATTTTGCATTGGCGACACTTTTGGGGGTCTTTTGCGGCTTTGACTTTGACTGCTGCCTCCTTTACGTGTACGTATACGCAATGTGGAGGTCCGCCAGGGTCTGCATGTCATGTTGCCCCCCAGCAAACGCAAAAACATAAAAACAACTACGAAATGCTAAACCTCACGAACATATTATAATAACTCATGCGTGGTTAGGCTTAGGACGTCATTGGCCGGGTCCGTCCCCTGCCAGGGGACGATTATAATTAGAACGTTGAAGTTTTAGAGAAAATGCCCACACCAAGAGCTGTCGGCCATTAGGCAGTGGGCATTATGTTGGATTAATAGTGGAAAGAAGTCAAAATTTCCCAGGAGAGTGCGACATCTAATGATCAAATAATGGGCAGCAATCAGAGATTTCTGTGAGTGGGTAGAAGAGTTTGACCTTTTATTTTAGATATGGGAGCATCAGTTCTCAGTTTAGATAATAAGAAACAACCAGAAACTGTCAGGTTTCCATCAGGAAGGTCAGTTTCTTCAGACATTCGAGCAATTTCCATTTGGTCTTCGCACTTTTTTATTGTCTGTACATATTAGAGACCATGAAATATGGTTTATGAGGCCATAAACAATGCGCACAAACAAGTCTCTCATTAGAAGAACATGAAATGCAGTAGAACACTACTCTAGAAGACCCAACTCTCACTGCCCATGACGATAACAATGACATATCTAAAACCCAAAAATGAATAACGAAACAGTCATTAGTCGGGGCGTCATCATCATCGGACGTTATTCATTATTCAACTCTCGAGACAGCTGAAGGAGTAAACGTGGCAAGGGCAACACTTTGGGGCAGGCACGGCGACCTGGCGCCCTGGCACCCTGGCACCCTGTATAGCGCCGACAAATATGCAAATTTACGCACATCAAAAAGTGAAAGTTCCAGAGGAGACCATTAAAATACCAAAAACAAGAGAACGTAGAACGTAGAACGGCGAGCGACGAAACCGAAAAAAATCAATGCAGGCCACCGAAGCAATTCGGTCAGTGGAGGCGGCGGCGGGATGGATCATTTTCCTCAGTGGAGCAGGCAGGTGGCGATGGGGTGCACAGCGGGTGGCGGGTTCGTTTGAGAACACGATTAAAGCGCTCTGATTATGGGTTACGGACCGTTTCGTATGGTACTCGAAAAGCGCCAAAAAAAGTTCTTCTAAAAAGTTGCTCAAGTCCGTGGTCCGTGGGTCCGAGACTATTGATGACGGCTCCTCTACACGCAATCCATGACATCACCAGAGTACGAGTACTCATAGTGGTTCGGTGCTCGTTCGGTCTCCGGTTCGGTGTCGGGTTTGTTTTTCTTCTCCAAATATTTTGCAGCTAGCGAAGTGACCCACAATTAGTGTGAGTGCCCCACACCACCAAGCAAAACACACACAAACTACCCCTAGGTCTTACATCAGGCCCAGTCCCTTCCCTGAGGCAGTAGTTGGAATACTTACCACAGGAATTTCACTCTATGCAACCTGCTAAATTATTCTAATAACTTTCTGTTTCTGTTGTTGCCCCATCAAGAGCAGTGAACTTGTGGAGACTCCTCCTGGGTGGGTTTTGTGGTTCAGTGAGTGACATTCTTTAATTGGAATTCAAATTAAAAACGTTGCACGATTTAATCGCATTTCGCTCTCATTGTATTATTAAAATGCAATTATTTTTGGTTTCGCATTCCGGACATGCAATTTTCAATTGTTGCAATGGAAATCCCATGACCTTTGGCGATTACTCATGCCTTGGAAATCTCTCAGAGCCTCTTTTCCACGCTGCATCCATGGTTCAGTATTGCAAATGGAGAGTCTCATGGGTCTATTTTTTAAGAATATTAATTGTTATTGTAGGATACTTAGAGAGCCTCTCAGATAGAGAAATTGCAAACCACTGATGGTAGCTTTATATGCTTAAGGATTTAACATTTCCTTTTCTTTATTAAAGATCAGTTCTTAAGTATACAAACTACCAAACCAGGAACCTATTTATGTTTAACAAGTTGAAATTATCATAGAAATTATGGGGAACTATGGAGAAACCAACTCAGTTCCTAAGTGAAGTTTAATTGATAGTCCACAAGTATTCCTCCAAGTACTTCGATGTCATCTTACACATAAATAAACCCGCTTGACTGCCCACAAGGCACTCCAGACAAGTTTTGCCATACAAAAGTTTTGCAAAGATAACACCAGCAAAAACAATACGTAGTCCTAGTGGTAGCAGCACCCCATCCATACCCCCTACCCCATATAAGCACCTACAAAATGTTTGTTTGGTTCGCGTTTTATCGCGCTGCACGTGTCCTGAATTTACACAAAATGAGTGGCTTCCGTTCTCATGAATGAAAAATTACTTACCAAAGTATCAAACATCAGGTCTCAGAGCGATCCTGTTCTGGGGGCAGACTTCATGGGTTTTCAATTGTCGCACTTAAGAGCTAGGACCACGAAGACCACCGTAGAGCATGTACTAGCCTAATCTATGACTAATTATCAGGGCAACGGGTAGGTGAACGCAAGTCAATGTACCATAAAAAGGAGGTTAATTCTATGCAATTTCGGATGGTGGCACCGTGGCTTTGGGGGCTCCGTGATTACTTTTCCTTTGGCAGCAGACGTATTAATTACAAAGCGGAGCACATTAGGACAACCACTCTCGCTCCACGCTTTCCTGCGTAATGCTAATCGCTGGACATAAATGGCCCGATCCCAGGCACGTGGAGCAAGTAGGGGACATTAGATTTTCGTATATTGTATGCGTGTATGTGGGGGATAACATTTGACAGGGGACTTTAGCTAGGATCGTGGCAGACCGCTGCTCAGTTGGAGAGCTGGGAGTTGGACAAGTTCGAATTGGATAGATTGGAGCTGTGCTCCGAGTCGGAAAGAGCGGCATTCGGCTGCTGTTGCTGTCCGGGTTGCTCTTGCTGCTGCAGCTGCTGCTGCTGCTGTTGTGAAAGGTGAGGATGGTGGGGCTGCTGCGGCTTGGCTTGAATGGTGGTGCCCGACTCGTAGTTGATGCGGATCCACTGACCCTCGCTGTTCTCCTTCCACAGTGTGACGTTGTTGTCGCCTCCAGTGACGGCCAGGATGTTGCCGGTGGTTGACCAGGAGATGCTCCAGACGGCATCGTCGAATGTGTGCAGGACACTGGATGTCCACTCTGTCAGATCCGCATTGCTGCTCCAGATGATCACGTGACGGTCCTGCGAGGCCGTGGCTATCTGCGAGCGTGGCAGACCAATCGATGGCGCCCAGGCCACATCGCGCACCCAGTCGGAGTGGGCCTCCAGGCGCTCCTCCTCCACCCAGCGATCGTTGTCCTCACGCCAGATTTTCACGAGATTGTCGCAGCCACCGCTCACCAGGCGCTTGATGGCCGGATTGCGCGAGGTGGTGCGCTGATCGAATGCCGGATCTGGGGCCTGGGCCGGGCACCACGAAATGGCATTCACCCCAATGGTGTGAGCATTCGGTATCTTCTTGGCATCCCAGGTTCCGTGCTCCGTGTTGCAGGTGAGCACCGAAATGGAGCCATCGGAGCTGGCGCAGGCCAGCACCAGACCGTACTCATGGGGGGCGAAATCAACTGAATTCACCGAGGAGTCATGATTGCTGTACTCGTAGCTGAAATGTGGCAAGCGACGGCGGCCGCCATTAGAAGATAACGTCATGCCTGTGTGTGATTGTGTGCGTTTCGATTACTTACAGCTTGGTCCAGTCCCTGGGCGTTGTCGATTTCCACACAATCACCTTGCGGTCGTACGAGCAAGAGGCCAGAATGTTGCCAAACTTGGGATGTGCCCATGCCACCTGCCACACGGGCCCCTGGTGGCCCTTTAGTTCTGCCAGAGCCTTGTTGTTTTTGCGCGAATGAAAAATGCGAACACTGCCGTCGGAGGAACAGGTGGCCAGGAGGAGGCCGTAGAAGTCCAGAGCGGCGTGGTGGACCATGTCCTCGTGCTCGGTGTCGATTTCCTGCAGCAGGCTCACCATTTTAAATTCAATTTATTTCCAATTACCGTAAATAAATGCAAGTCGTGTTTTTTTCGGCGCCTTGACGTGGAATTCAGTGTGACCGCTGAATTAGCCAAAAAAAATACCATCAGACTCTCAAAAATATAACAAAATATACTATCTCATTTTCAAAATATACCGTATATACACCGTAGTCTTAAATCATTTTTCTCGACTTTGATATTATGTTTATTATTACCAACTAATTAGGAATCTCAGCTTTACAACTTTTATTTTACTAGAATATCCCCAAAATAATTTTATATACCGTAAAGTGTCACCCTTTTTTCTGTGTAAACGAGTGCTGTAAAATCACCAAAGAAACCACTGACCTTAACCCACCTAACCTACAATCAAAATAATGTTTTTTAACTTAAATATGTTTTGTGGATATCCGCTCTGCAGATTCTGTATGAGAATTATAACAGTCACCAAATCGCGGCTTTTGAATCTTCAAAAGTGTTATTATTGTTAGTATTGTTGTTATTGGTTGGGAGCTTTACCAACAAACCAACCGTGGAACCGCAAAAACTGTCAATTAAAGGTCATTTTACTGAAATCTTTATTGCCAACATTAATTTAAATGTTTTATTTGTTGTTTAGTTTTCTGTGACATGTCGCTAAACATATTCGAAACATGTAAATATTTAATGCATAATATCTGTGTTTCACAAGTTTAGCCATGTAATTTTCGTGATCGACACTCCGTTTTGTTGTTTTGAAATTCGGTTTGATATTACTAGTCTGCTGGGAGCCTCAGCAATGAACACTTACTCTTATACAATAGATGAATCATTTATTTTCAAGGTTTTCATTAAGCTTAATGACTTACTTATATTGTTTTGCTTATAAAATAATGGTTTTAACAAAAAATGTCACCAAACATGTCCACTTAACTAAATGGATATTACACCGTTCTTATATGGCAACTACATACTGATGTAATAACACCAGTTGGTATTTTCTACAGCAATATAATACCGAAGTTCGAGTACGCTAGCTGGCGTCACAATGATATTTGCTAATATTATTTATGTTTAGGTTTATTCTAAACTGTACATATCCGGGTCTTCCTCCTTAAGGTAGGCATTGAGTCTCAAAGCCTGTGTCTCGGACCATAGCAGCCGCGTCATTTTCTGCTCCACTGTCTCTGCATCTTCTGGCGCCAACTTGTTCAACTCCGACTCCCAGTATGCGCATATGGGCCTCATCTGTGGAGCGGGCCTAGTCTGGGAAGCGGCTCTGGCCTGAGGAGGAATCCTAGCCTGGGGAGAGGGTATAGCCGGCGGCATGGACATACCTTGCGGACTGGGGCTAGCCTTCGGTTTAACAACTTTTCCCACAAAAACGGTAGAAACTGGCGCCAAGGGGCTGTGGAAAACGTAAACAGTGAATGATGAAACATTTGTTTAATGAAACGCATCTATAATGCATACCGATTCTGGACTGATTGATACAAGAATTCCATGTGTGGAGCGAACCGCCATCTGCCGCTGATGTTGTCCCTAGTCTTAGCGTCAGCTAAAGGATCCCAGTCGGCGTCTCCATTATTCACTGTCGTTTTCCCCTTCGCAACCATCTTCATATGGTACCGGTAGCTGTCCCTCAACGATTTCCAAGCGTTCTTACAGCTAAAGACTGAAGGACAGGCATGCAATTAAGTTGTCCAAGTAGTTTTAGTTTGACCTACCATCTTTATTCATCTCAGAGCCTACAGCGGCCCATGCGCTTCTCAGTGCATTGCTATCAAAGTGTTTTTTATTCGCCACATCCCAAATGAGTGTCCTCTTTTCGACCGACTTGATTAGTTTTAGTTTATCCCGGCAATCAAACTCTTCGAGCCGTCTTGTACGTGTGCTGCCCTCGTTTTCCATTTTCTTTGTCTTCGCTAGCGAAAACTAGAATACATATTTTATTTCGTTTGAGGCAGCTGCAAGCAGGGATGATTTCTTATCGCGTAACATTCCGAATATCAACCCTGTTTTAGCTAGTGAAAATGTATCGAATCTTGACTACAAGTCTGAAGGTGGGAAAGCCTCCAATTTAGATTGAAATTAACTAAATTATCCCGATTTTTTGCAGTGAAAGTTGTATGTAACTTGTTTATCTATAAAATTTTGGAATTTATGAATGCATCTATCGATAGTGACCAAAAAAAGTTTCGATGTATCTATGGGACTATCGATGGGTCTCAGCTATCTTTTGCGGACGAACTAAAATTTTAAAGGTATAAAAAGGCGTATTTATAATAAGCCAAATTGATTCGTCAATCAGATTAAATTATTGTTGTAGTGTTAAAAGTCTTTGCAAGATAGTAATATCAAAAAGAACAACATCAACATCGAGGAATATGATTTAAGACTACGGTATATTACGGTATATTTATAATTTAAGTTGGTATATTTTATCGATAATCCCGCGGTCACTAATTGACACTTTTCCAGACTCAAGTTTGCATTTGCCAAGGAAAATAAGGTACAAATTAAAGTGGAAACTTTATAGAAAGGGTCCAGAGAGTGTCTGCCAAAGGTCCTTGTGCACTAAAACTAGCGAGATCATTGCCTGGCATGCTAATTTAGTAAAACAGCACCACAGATTACATAACCTTTTTAAGGTTACATATGGGAGAAGGTGATGCCGAAATTCGCCAGAAATTAACAAATTCTCTTTGCCCGCAGATGCTGTCGCAATCAATTCTGACCGGCGTGCGTGTGCTCCGCACGGAAGCTCGCCGCAACTTTGGCCTGGCTGCACCAGCCCTGAACAAGGCCTCAGATCCCATCCAGCAGCTGTTCCTCGACAAAGTGCGCGAGTACAAACAGAAGAGCAGGTAAATGTAGCTGGACGAAAATCATCACAATAATGCCCTAATTATCATTCATCTCTGTCAACATCTGCAGCGGTGGCAAGCTGGTCGATCCCAATCCCGATATCGAGCGCGAGATCAAGACCGAACTGGACCGTGTGGCCAAGCAGTACGGCAGCGATGGCAAGACCGATATGCTGAAGTTCCCCGAATTCAAGTTCCCCGAGGTCAAGGTTGATCCCATCACCCAGAGCGCCAACTAAGCAACTATTCGAACCGAACAGTTCTTCGTATGAATTAGTTAAATTGTTTTTAAGTTCACAATCCAGCTCGAGCGGCCAGCTCGACCCAACCAGGCGAGGATTGCAAAACAGCAAATAAAGCCGGAAAACATCATCCAGAGAGCTACATTGAAAATACTTTTATAACGCTTACAAATATGGATCCTATCTGGGTGTATCGATAGCCTGCTGCACCGTTTGCTGGAGCAGCAGCATCTTGTGGTTGCCCGCCACCTTGCTGAATGTCGTGAGCAGTGTCTGGATATCCGAGCCGCTGATGAGGGGCACAAAGTGACCCGCACAGCTGCAGAACTCAGCCAGGTTTTCGCGCTTGATTTGGTTGCAGCGTGCACAGCGTAAGTCCTGCAGGACATAGGACATCATCTTGCGCTGCAGAGCATCCAGCATGCGCATCTCAATCTCCTCATTGTCGTAGGCCACATAGCACTGGGCGCACAGCCAAACGGGGCTAAAAAGAATCATTTTAATTAAGAAAGGGAAACAAATGGTTTTGGTTGCCACTCACATGCCATCCTTCATGGCGCGATGCTTGTCCTTGCAGAGATCGAGATCGCGACAGTGATTGCAGGCCTTGCATATGACCTCGTTGATGATGTAACTGTCGCAGGGATCCTGCCACTCGGCCATGTCCGAGAACTCGCCAATGCCCACGAGACGCAGCATGTTCCTGCGCAGCTCGTTGATCTGATCCGCCAGGTTCTTGTCCACACTGAGCACCTTGATCATGGTGCGGATCAGCTCCAGTCCCGGACTGGGCTTCCCCTTGCCATAGTTCTTGTGCAGCTTCAGTATAAAGTCAAAGGCGCAGTGCGAGATGTCTCTGATGGCCTGCTCCGTGGTCTTTCGTTCGGCGAGAGACTGCATGAAGAGCGTGATGAGCGACTCGAACTTCTCCCGGCACTCGTTCTCCTCGGGCAGTCGCTCGCCAATGGTCCAGTTCAGCTCCAGAGCGAGCTCATCCTCTGCCTCTGGCTCTTGGTCAGCATGGACTGAGGGATCTCTGTTCTCCTCCTCCTCATCGTCCTCATCATCATCTTCGGCGTTTCGATCTCTCTCCTGCCGCATGGTAGTGGACACAATGGAGGACACCGTCTCATCTATGCCCTTGGGCAGCTTGCCTCGAATCCCGGAGAAATTGGCCCTATCCATCCAGAGCATAAAGTTCCAGCACTGCTCGAAGGAGAGCTGAATCGAGTGGAACATCTCCTTGTTCCTCAGACTCTGGACAATGTAGTCCACATAGCCCAGCGCATCCGAAACGCTCTTCTTCCCCGAACTCAGGATAATCCGATTGAAGTCCGCATAGACAATGGTGGCGCCCAAGCGCTTGAACTCCGCTATGATCCGCAGGAACATCTTCCGCATGAGATTGTTGAGCGATCGCCGCAGAGCTGGATCGTAGAGCAGGGCATTGCTGGAGCGCACCCAGCGGTAGAAGTGCACGATCTGAAAGTCGGAGAAGATGTTCCGATTGATGGAGACCTCGCGCAGCCATCCGTTCACCATGGAGCGCATCACGCGAAAGGCCGCGGAGCAGAGGGCCGTCTCATCGTAGCTGGGGAGTGTGGCCGCTGGCACATTGCCAATCATCTCCTCGAGGGAAGCCTGTGGCATCACATCGAAGGTGATGGCCGAGGAGGCGCCCTCCATCTCCTGGATCTTGTTCGACTGCAGCAGGGCGCTGACCGCGAGGCTGTCCAGGGCAAGTTCTACACAGACATCCGGGTAGAAGCCCGCCTTGTTCTGCACCACGCTGATGTTCTCCTCGAACTCCGCCAGCAGTCGACTGTCGTCCGCCTCGCGGCCGCCCAGATCCGGCCTCGTGCTGGCCGACCACCAAAGCACAAAGTTGTGACGCTGCAGCAGGCGGGCGAAGAAGAGATCCGCTCCAAAGAGCACCGTGTCGGGCGGCATGTTGCCAATGGGCACATGGAAGTACCGACACTGATCCAGCATCAGGTCCAGCACGTTGTTCAGGTTGAGGAAGTGCCGCACCACGGCCCGGGTGCCCTGACGCTGCCAATCCAAGCCGGACAGCAGGCTGGCATCATCCGAGATGTGGATCTGGGCCTGGGGAAACTCCAAGAGGATGGGCATGGCCTGCGGCAGCTTCCGCGCCTCGAGCGCCGTCTGCAGGCAGAGCAAGGTGGGTCCCTGGTTCTCCTGCTTGTAGGTGGTCAGAGCACGCTGAATGTGCCTGTAGATCTGCTTGACATCCACCTCAATGACTACCTCAAAGGTGTAGTCCTCGGCGGGAATCTTCTCCTGCTCCCCAGCCGTGAGATTCTTGAGGAGAGCCAGGCGCTCCGCAGCGTACAGCTGCCGCAGATTGGGCATCTGATTGGCACGCACCGTGTCCAGGACGAAGATGAAACCCTTCTTGCTGGGCATCAGTATGAGCGACCAGATCTCCTTCTTGGCCGTGGGCGTGTTGTGCTGGTACAGGTAGATCTTTCGCATCTGCGCATTGGCCATGGCCAGGTACTTGACCTGCGTCTGCGGTCGCTGCTCCAGCTGCTCGATGCTGAAGCTCTCCATGTCGCTGTTGGAGAGCAGCGACAGGCGACGCGCCTCCTCGCGCTGCACGCCACAGATGCAGCCCATGTCCATGAGAGCGCGGAACTCCAGCGTCATTTGCGTCTCGTAGATGCCCTCGATATCGGGCGTGGCCAGGTCTGCCAGCATGCCCAGCGAGTTGTCCCGAAAGAGCTGCTCGGGCACGCTGTACCGATACAGATTGAACATGGGCCGAGAGCGGGGCAGCACGCGGTTCACCTTGCGCCACAGCTGTCCCTCCTCCGGGGGCGCTGGACTCCGCTGGTTCACATAGAAGATTCTGGGCACCGTCAGCTTCATGCGATGCAACTCCTCGCCGATGAGCGCCCACACGGTAAAGTGTCCCAGATCGTCCACGGGCACCAGCTGCAGGATCTGCCACGGCTGGTCCAGCAGCGTGCGCTGTGTCCGCCTCAGGAATCCCCCCAAGGTGGCTGTGGCTCCGGGTGCTCTCGTGTTCGGTGCGTGCGCTTCATCGTTGCGCACTCGCTTGGAGGCCTGTTGCAAGCGCTGACGCTGTCGCTGCCGCTGCTCCAGCTGCCACTTCCATTTGCGCTTCTGGAAGCGCACCCACGCCGCGATGCTCTCCGCGGTGTCGCCCATTTCAGGAGCATCGCCCAGCGCCTCTTTCCAGGTGGTGGCCTGCGGCGTCTGCTGCTCCTCCTCGCCTTCCTCCAGCTGCAGCCTCTTTCGCTTGGTGACCATGGGCAGCCCGGTGGGATCCTCGATCTCCTTGCCAGCCATATCCTCCATGTCGCGCAGCTCCAGCTGCTTGTCCTCCAGCGCTGGCTTGGGCTTCGGGCGACTCGTGAAGATCTCGTTGATGCGCCGCTGCTTCAGCACATCGTTCTTCTCCACCATCTTCTTGTGCAGCCAGTCGGGATGCTGCACCCGTGGCACGGGATTGGCCAGTCCCTGCAGTGCCGCGGGAATGGTGATGATCTTCTGGATGGTGCCACCCAGCCGCTCGATGTAGTAGTTCCAGTCGAGCACATCCCGAATGTCCGCATCCCCCATGGTGTTGTCCTTCAGCCAGCGCCGCAGGTGGTGCCGCCGCACACTCGCCTCGGACTGGAAAATGGCCAGCGGTATGGCCCGCTCTGTGACGGGCGCACCTTCGGGCTTCTTGGAGATGATGTACTTGCAGGCGAGGCCCGCATCCTTGACCATCTGCTCGCCTAGGAACTCGGCCAGCCGCTTGGCCGTCGATATGGATGTGCTCTTCTGGGCGCCGTACTCCTCCAGCTTCTTGGACATCGACTTGTTCTCGGCAATCAGCTCGAAGAGCTCCGAGTCGGGCAGATTGGAGCCGCGACTGTAGAGGACATCCAGCCAGTAGTCGGCCACCTTGGCCACCGATCCATAGCACTCCTCCAGGGTGCTGCCTGCGAGGAAGGCCTCGAAGACGGAGCTCTGGAAATTCTTGATCAGCTGCAGCTCGCCGCGACGCTTCACCTCGAAGCCCTTCAGCTCGGCCAGCGAGCCATCGAAATTGAAGACTGCGTAGCGTTTCTTCAGCTTCTTGCCCTCCTCCTTGGATGCGGGCAGCACCATGGCCAGGTACGGACCATCCACCTCAAAGAAAATCGAATTCTCATCGCGAATATCGTAGTGTGGGCCCTCTTTCTCCTCACTCTTCCTCAACTCGTGATACTGATCGTTGGTGAAGTGATCCTTGACCATTGTATTGAGCACCGCATTGGGGTAGGAAATGTTGATCTTCTTTTTCTTCTCGTGGCTCGTTTGCACGGTGAACTCCTGGGGAAAGGAGCCTGGGAGTATGCACCAAATACCATCCGTGTCCAGCTCCAGCGGGCGACCCACACGCTCGATGATCTCACGCGCTTTGGTGATGATATTCGAGCCCGTGAGGCACACAATGCCGGCCATGGGCATGGAGTGCCAGCGGGCACCGCGACGCATCACATAGCCGTAGAAGGAGTTCAGGATGCACTTGTGGGCCAGCTGCAGGGAATCGTAGAGCACCTCCCGGCCCTTGGCCGCCTTGATCTCGGCCGCATCGCCCGAGGCCACAGCGGACGTGACTGAGGCCTTGGCCACCTTCGTGAGGCCCTTGTACTCGTAGCGGCGATCCCTGAAGGCGCGCACCGTGTCCACATAGAAGCTGTTCTCCTTCTGGCAGATGGTGGAGTTGCGGGTCTCCAGTTTCGTGAGCTTCGTCTTCTTGTACGCCTTGCGGCAGTAGTCGGACAGGCGCTTCTTCTCGTACGCCGCCTGGTCCTCCTTGGAGAGCTCGTGGAAGGCGCGCGTCGCTCCCCCTGGGTAGAGCGAGGGGAACTTCTCCGTCTCCAGCTGCTGCTGGATGCGCTGGAACTCGTTGCGGGAGGCGGGCAGCATCTCGCCGCGCCACAGCCAGTCCATGGAGCGCTTGCAGCGCACTCCGGGCTTGTTGAAGTCGCAGGCGGCACAGTCCAGATCGCTGACCATTGCCGAGGGCTGCAGGCGATTCGTCAGAATGATATTGGGGTACATGGCGCCCACATCCAAGTGATAGATGACGGGCTGCTCGAGGCGATTGGGTATGTC